GCAAGCCGAGACGAAGAAGAAGGTTGTCTCTATTTGAGGACGTATAACACGTTGCTCCTTTACGCTCCCCTTTTAAAAGTCCATGTCTTATTAAGCTCGCCACAAGGAGCAGCAGCAGTAGCAGGGAGGCAGGCTGGCGAGACGGAGAAAAAGTTGTTACGTTTCGTCCGCGAAAAGGTTCTTCGGGAGATTGGAATCGCTGTCGGCACGGAATACAAGTTAACTAATTAGGTCATTTAAAATTCTATTTTCGCAGTTGGATATTCTTTGGTGAGTGCGGTAGAGAAGTTTTATGATCTTACATTGTTGTTTACGTGTCATTGCTACGTCTCTTTTTCGATTAATGAGGATCAATATAAATCTTAAATTGCGAAACAGATCCGATGCGTCGTAATGCCGTTCGAAAATGACATTACTTCCAAGCAAAAAAATAGGCATGGCTTTTGCTTGTGCTTTAGTTTTAGACTTTTTCAACTCGGGAAAAGCAACGAGTGAAAACCATTTCAATTTGTATACTCAGCGAAACAGTGCGCGTAATTCTTCCCTTAAAAAAAAAAATAAACAAACAAGCGACAAGTTTACCACAAAACGAGACGTTGAAAAGGTGGAAGTCATTTAACATTTTCCATAGAGCAGACGTAAAAAGACAAGAAGAACAAACCACCTCGCACGTTAAAACAAACAAAACAAAAGCAGCGAGAGCAAACGCACACAAAATAATTTCTACGATTTTCAACTAACGCGCGCTAATTTTTTTCCTCCCCCGAGAAAACTTTGCTCGCTGCACTCGAGGGTATTTCACATTATAATACCTCGGGCATGGATTCAATTTTTTTTCTTTTTTTCAATTCTGAAAGAATAATAAGCCGCTGGCGCACGGGAAAATTCTCGCGATGTAATTATAGCGCTGCGAGCGGTCCGTTTTATTTTTTTTTCATATAGCCTTGACTGGAGAAAAGGGCTATTTTTCGGCTGTCAGGCGGTAGCGCTCGTTTTTAAAACAAAGGTCCTGAAAAATGAAAATGCAAGGGGGAGGGTTTTTTATTTTTTCTTTTTTTTTTTTTTAGTGCGCGCGCGCGTGTATGAATTTAATTAACGCACACGGGTCGGCTATTTATCGACAGATTGCCGTCGCGGATTGTTGGCTATTGCGGGTGAAAGAGAGAGGGGGGAGACTGTTTCTATTTGCATTCGAATTGGCTGTTGCCGCTTTCGTTACAAGCGCAAAAGCTTCCACGAGTCGCGAGGCAAGAGAAGCTTATTTTTCGATCGCTAGCAATGTCGAGGCTTTCCTTTTTTTTATTGTTATTGAATTTCATTGTTTTGCGAATATTAATAAAGTTACTCTCGATAACAGGAAACGTGTTTGTTGCAAACTCGATCGAATTGAATCGTTGCTCGTTTAGGCGATACAATACCATTTCGACAAAAACATCAAGGAAATTAATTTTTCAACTTGAAAATAGAATCACCGAAAATAAAGCAACATAGCACATTGCAATTTGGCGAATATGAACAATTCTATAAAATCCTGCAACATCCTCAATATCTTTAACTCTTAAGGTACGAACTGGATGATAACAGTCAGATGCTTTTTTTTAACTTTAACGTTGGCGCTATCAAACATTATATCATAATTAAATCAAGTTAAATTATTATCAATCAACCTTCTCGCAATTAAAATAAACGGATACAAAATAAGTTGAGAGATACAGTTTTTTTAATTTCAAAACAGTTTATCATCGTTAAAAATTACCCGAAGTAAAAAAATAATATTTCTTTTTGAACGTTAACTTATCTACGACTCAGCCCTTTTTTTATTAATACAGAATTGTGCAATATTTAAAAATTAGTGTGTATTGTAGCAACTGAAAAAATAAAATAAGAAAACACCATGGGAATCGCACGTAGTATAAACAACAGGACTAAAATTGACCGTAAACGCGATTGTACTTAACATTACATGAATGCAGCACTTTGACCAAGAAGGTTTCTAGTATAATATTTGCAGTTGAGTTAAACGAACTTCATTTAGCTTTCACTCCACGGTCCTATTATATGACAACGGCAGTTTGCTTACCCTCTGTATTTAATCAATTACAACACTGCAATCTAGATCGTTTCATTTGTATAATGAAAGCCCGCGTCTATTGATGTTACATTTAGGTTGCCCCGAATAACCGACAGTACGTAATTAACACTGCAATTACAAAGTGAAAAGAAAACAGACACATCTCGAAAAATTCAAATGCTTACGCTGTTACACTAAAGGCCACAATTATTATGATCTGAAAAGGGTTAATGTATCTAAAGCTTATATATGACGTAATAATCCCCGTCCATTCGAGCGGGTAAACGATCGAAATCGGCTTGTCCAAACGACGCGCCGTGAACGTCCCGCAGGTATACGTCGTTTTTATTGAGAGCACTAGAATATGTAGCTACCTCGCTTTTCCATTTTCTCCCGACAGCGCCGGTGCCGTTGCTGCAATAGTGCGGGAAATGTTCTTGCGTGTCACAGCTTCGAGCTTGTTACTCTTAATTGATGCAGTTCACACCGGTCGCCCAGGAAAAGGTCAAAACAGGAATAAGCTCGGTGTAAAAAATCTTGTTAAGACGAGCTGATTAACTACGACAGACAATGAACTTGATATTGAAGGGATTTCTTCGGGAGTAGAGAAAGGAATTGTATATCCAGCAGCCGACTAATGAATGTTAAACAAGTCTAATGCATTTCAATTAAGTCCGTCGTAAGCATGAATATTTTTGTATAATAATGGGGTCATTGCAGGCAAAGTTCCTTTAAAGCCTTGTAGTAGCACGAGGCTGTGTAAAAACTTTTCATCTCCCTAAAGAATGCATTAACAACGTCGTAGACCTTATAGCCCACCTCACCCTTTTGCTATGAGGGACTTTACCACTGTGACTTTGAAATCTTATTATGCTGGAAATTAAAAAGAAACAGGCATCAAAGTTAATCGCCTTTTAATTATGTCGATAGCAAGAGAAATAAAAAAGCATCCACTTTTCCATTTCAGCATTTCATTAAAGCTAAACCACTCGCTGAATGAACCAGCAGTTCATAATGACTTGTAGCACTGGCAAAACAGTGTTAAATTCTTTGTAATTATATAATAATATGTCGGCTAAATAATAATAATAATACACGTATTAAAGCGAAGAATATCATATGTAGTCACCATTTGATTTGGTGAATTTATAAAATTCATTCTACATTCCTTCACTCTTGTTGTTTAAAACGCGACGTTCTGGACGACGCTTGAAATAATAAAATAAAACGCACAAAAAATATTGGCACAAACATAGCTGCCCCCCCCCCCCCCTCTCAACCCCAGCAACCAAAGCCACAAACCTCAACAATCAAAACTCGCTCTCGTCGCGTGACCGCCGCAGCTAGGCGTGCAATTGTATGCATATAACGCCAAACAACATGTAGCGCCGCAAGCACATACAAACCCCGCAGCGTTAACGAGCGTAATATTGTCCGATAATATTCACTTAATAAATCGAATTGATGGCCCTTTGGCCATATTCCGGCGCGAGTCTCGATTGTTGGCTGCTGCGCATGGCGAGAGATCAATTGGTGGCTCATCGGTTATACCTACACGGAGGGCGGTTGGTAAACTGCATGCGACGAGCTGACTTTCCACATAAACTTCACTTGAACGTTTTTTATTTCATGTTCACATCGTGCGCAAATGCTAGTAGAGAGTACGCAGTGGGAAAAGGAGGCACCGTAAATTTCCTTTGTTTGCGCTTGAACGTTTTTGGTTACGCGATTTATTGGACTTTCTCGGATGTTCCGCGGATATGAAACGCCACGTTTCATAAATCACAAGTTTACCACGCGATTGCGTTGACGGCCATTTCAATTTGGGGTGCAACGATATAAAACAAATAATTGACAGCCATGTCTCTATACTCGATGTTAATTGTTTTTAAAAATATTAAAAGACGCTGTAAGATGTCTTCGTTCTCGTGAGCGTCTCGACAAGCCAAAACGTTACTTAGTCATACGGCTCTTCTTATACACTTATTGCGTACATATTTTTGGTTATTTGAATATTGAAATTTCAATGGCTTTGTAATTTCTGAAAAACATGGACAAGCTTTTTTTACCACGTAATACAGGAAATTTGAGTGGGTCACAACAAGTCAAACATCGCACACAGTTTCATTCGCCGCGAGCAATAATCTGCGATCACGAGCGAAAAACTTGCCGTGCAAAGAAGAAAAAAACGATCTAAGCATACTGCGAATGGTCGTCTTGCTTGTCGTGAGATATTTACTGCTCTCGGAAAGGGTCACGATCAAACTTTGAGAAAACCCGCTCGAATGAGCAACCATAAAAATCGCCTAGGGCTATGTGCGCGCAAACTTCTGAAACTCACCTCTTTTCACGAAGTAGGATATTCTCTCTTCCTCTCTTAAATAAAGAGAACTGCCAGTATCAACTATCTTCTGTAGCACTGTCAAAACGTATGATCTGAAAGTTATATTTCTTATGAAAACACTCGAGGGATGAAAAAAAGCACGTGGATCGGCGAATTAGACACACTATACACGCAGAGACTATACCCGATGTGCATTCGGTCGCATCCAAAATGCAACTTGAACGCAGCGCGCGCTAAGTTCGCCGCAGCTTGCCGTTTCGCCGGCTCGACGATCCCGTTCGCGAGTGGGGGTTACGACTGGTAAAAAGCTCTAATAAACCTGTAGCGACACCTTACAGTGGAAAGTCGAATATTAGCTGTCGATAAAGACGAATTCAGTGTATTATTTCATGATTAGTGTTAATAATAAATTATTAATAAAAACTATCAATTTACGTAGATTATTGGAAAACGAGTATAATGGATCGCTTTTGTAAGAGATATCTTAAAAATCATGATCATCCAAAATAACGCAGCCTATTATATGCGGTTGCATGGGCTATGCTCTTATACGCTGACGTGTACAATTGCACACACATAAACTTTGCTCGTACGTGTGAGTAACTGGCTGGTATACTGACACGTCGATCTTCAGCAGTTTTTAAGCGTCGTCGCACAACGTTCAACTGTTCGTGTGTCGTGCATCATACCTTACAGGTGGGTAAATTAATTATTTAATCTAAATAATTATTTGTCATTGTTAATTGCAATACGGATGCAATGAATGATAGTTTAGATGGTTTCTAAAGGATGTTTTTTTTTTCATTTTTCGATCTGTCTTTCAATGGTCTTCGACTGCCTGCTGCTCCGCATTTCTCGATATCTGGAAACGTGTGACTTATCGAAACAGATTGTTTTTCTGTGTGACTAAATAGAAACTATTTGCAGAATGGTGAGTTACGTGTTTGTTCACTATGATTAAACGATATATTGAATTGCTGAATTGAGTCTTACTCAAATAATATTGGAGGCTTCAATTTTAATAGTTTATATCGTTTGATGATCTGCGCTTTTCCAAGTATTATTTTAATGTGACTTGAAGGATTATAAGTTGTGTTTGTACAATGTGCTAGAAATAGTTTTTGATCTTGCATACTGTAAACAGATATGAGCACATCTGTTACCAAAATTTTTTTTCGGTTAATATCATCCTTGAGTATGATTGCTTAATCAAAAGATTGATGATGATCTTGGTCAAGATATATTTTTCAAACTAATTAAGTTACTAAAGTTAAACTTTGATACAATTTTTAAATAATAAATAATATTTAAAATTAGTATACAATGCTGAAAAATTTTTAAGGTGCCAATCGACGATATCTTGCTTAGTCAGTAATCCGTTGAAACTACAATGGACAATAAGCAAAAAATATTAAACATTCAATTTATTTTTCAATTCATAGAAAAATATTTATAGATTGATAGATTCAGGTGCCTTATTTTATTCTTTTCATTGCTTGCAATTAAAACTATAACTATATATTTTTTCTTTTAATTTTTAATAATTTATTGTTTTACAGCCTGCTGCACCTAGTTCAACATCTGTTGGAGCTGCCAGCCGGTCTCCAAGTAAAGCCATTGCACCTCGTGCTGGCGTTGGAGGCACTGTGAGGCAGCGCAAAACCATTACTGCAACATCTGCTAGGAACCGCACAACTGGAACCAATTCTGGTGGTATGTGGAGATTCTATACTGATGACTCTCCAGGAATCAAAGTGTAAGTTTGAAAGTAAATATTGTTACTTTAAATTTGTCAGAAGTGTTAAGCGTAGTTAATAGAAGATTTTTGTGATTTTATTCATCAAGCTTCAACCATTTTTCTTACTAAATTTTTCACTTGAGCCAGAATTCCTCTTTTTTCATTATGTAACTCGTTAATTTATTATTATTACAGTGGTCCAGTTCCAGTTCTGGTTATGTCACTTTTGTTCATTGCATCTGTTTTCATGTTACACATTTGGGGAAAATACACCAGATCTTAAAATACTTAAATTCATTTTTTAAATATACAACAGACTTCCAGAATGTCCAGTGGACAGTGAATGTCTCTGATGCACATATAAAAAATATCCAATTTATAATAAAATTTATAATGAACTGTATAAAAGCTGAACATGTGAATGACCGATCAAAGATTGTTACTACTGAAATTATACTATTTGTCTTTATGAAAAATTTACTTTCTGTAATTTATTTAAGTAAAAGTGTAAGGTTTATATAAAATTAATGATTGACAATTGTACATTATTAATATAGTAATATACCTTACGTTCCAGAGTGCATTTACGTACTCACTTGAAATATTTTAATAGTTAAGATCAATTTAATATATAAAACATGAATCTGAAATTAATTTGTATTTTATTATTACGTCACAACCTCAAACTATAATTTTAATTATTTTTATTTATTGAATAGAATATATTTGTTTAATTAAAGAAGTTTAAAACATTTTACAATAAATATTTACACATTACATAAAATCAATAACATATTTCATGAAAAACGGAAGGGTGCTAAATAAAAAAACGTATTAGTTCGCTGATAATTTTTATAATTTTATAACAATATATTATTTTATATAACAATATTTAGTATTTTTTTATAATCAGAAACCATTTTATCAAGAATCGATAAAAAATGGATATTAATACAGCATATAGTATACTAGATTTTTCATGATTGCGCGCATTTTTTAGTAAAAACTCGTGGATTCATAATCGCATTAATTATATGAAAAATGTCGAAAAGTGTAAATATCTTTGTGCAAAAAACCACTAAATAAGTCTGTACACTATTTGCAAGATAGTATATATACATTTTTTACAAAATTTTTATAAAAATATAGGAAATATCTACTACATTGATTGTAGGAAAGATTATACGCATTACACCCATATGAGTATCTAAATTCATGATCAGATTTGCGTATTTTTTACATGAAGTTTTTAGTAACTATTGCTATACATGTGGGTTTTTCAAAATACAATGAAAATTGAAAATTTTAATTAATTGATTGTAAAAACCATGACACTAATAATTATTTTTTGTATCCAGAATCTCTGGATATAAAAAATAATAATTATATCCAAAGATATAAATATGAAAAAATTTCTCTAAATTTGATACAACTAAATTATCATATTGATACTGTAAATTTGATAGAAATGGGATGCGTTTTTGAATTATAAATTCTTGCATATAAGAATCACCACATGATTTGCTATAATCTCTAAAATCTTGACCGAAACGACTAGTGCAACTTCGCTTTTTTATCTAAATATACATTTCGGTTACAAGCGAAGTCTTTCCTGGTGATAAAATTTCTCTCGCATTTCAGACATATGTATAAAATAAAATAATAAAACAACTGTAACAAAATAACTATCTTTTTTCAATGATTAATCGTGATGTAGAAATCTTAGATCGACAATTTCCAGTGCAACGTGATTAAGTGTTCTTAAGATAATATTTCATTCTTAAAAATAAATTATTTAAAAAATTATTAACTTTTTACGTTAATAATTGAAACTAGAAAAAGTCAATTGTCAAGTCGGTATTCGAGAAAATTCAAAATTGTTTTTGAAATATATATCAATAGTTTATACTTATATATGCAAAACAGCAAAAATTTGAAAAATCTATTCATAATCTACTTTTTATTGTTCAGTTTGGAATAAACTTAATATTTTTAATTGTTTCCCTTGTTTCGTAGAAGATTTTTAATATTAAAATTTATCATTTGTCAACTCGAAGCTTAGAGCAATATTTATAATTAAGAAGATGTATTATACTCTAACCTACAAAATTCGTAAAATCCATCGTACTCTTAATTTGAAATTTTCATTGATAAAATAATTTCACATCATTCTTTACATTATTTTTAAGGGTGAACAATTTCTATAATTATTCAAAAGTAAATATAAATTGGCATAAATGATTTCAAGTTTCAAAGCGGGAAGTCCTATCCACTAATGCGTATTATAAAATCAGTTATTCTTGCTCAACATTTACTTTTTAATAATAATGAAAGTTATCCACCCTGTGTTATGATATAAAGAGTGCATGACTGTGCTATTCCATGTGTACTGTCAATTATTGACGTATAATGATCTTTACAATCAGTGAATTTTGATCCGACATCCGCTTAAGCATTTAAAATTATCGTAAGATCATAATTTATATTAAAGTTTCGAACATTCTTAAGTAAAACCCTTACGTTAGATCTATTGTAAGTGAAATATCTTTCAATTGATTAATTTATATTCTAATAACTGCACCATAAAAATAATTTGATTCATTGACTATAAATTTGAGATATTGATATGCTATTGAAGAAAAATCTGCCTATTGACAATTAACTCAGATTTTTATCAATCTATTCAAATAATTTAAAAGAATTGTTTTTTAAACCCAATTTTATTAAGACTGGATAGAAAAGATGACTTGAGTTGTCTTTGCACCTAAATTTTGATTGAAAAAATTTTAAAACCTCATACCTTATAATTGTTCCAACTTCCAATTCCTCTATGTGCATTAGAAATGCATTAAAAATTAATAGAACAGTAGTTTTGAATGTAGCTAGATGAAGAGCTAGTTAAATTTGTTACTAATAGTTTGACCACTTCAAGAAATTTCATCAAAGATTTACGTATATGATCAAAAAGATCAGTAAAAATAGCAATTTTTTTCAACGTTTAATGAAAAAATTAATATATCATTCTTTACAACATGCTATTGACAATCGAAAAATCTTATCAAATCAATATTTCAGTCTGTATTAGGAGCAGCTCTGAGAATTTTTCATTTGGCCTAGATAGTGTAACATGCACATAGGCTGATTTGAAAATTGTTCGTTTGAACTAAAAAAGTATATTATATTGAATAACTTCAATAATAATTGTCAATAAAAATATCAATGAAATAAACATTAATACCCATACTGAATTCAGATTTGATCTAAAGTTTTAATTAAAAAAAATTTTTCGGATAAAACTTTTTTCATGAAGTCAAGATCAGATAAGACAAAAAAATAAAAAAAATAAAATAACCTAGTTGCTAAACAATTAAGAATATCATTGAATCTAATAAATTGCCAGAGAAATTTGTTCACCAGGAGTAAAGAATATCTATTCATTGGTTCCCTGACTATCAATGTCGAGGGGATCGCGAAGCACAAGTTCTGTCTGTTCAGATTCCTTATGGAAGATTATAATTTTCTCATCACTCGACGATTGACTATCTAATGAACCTTCTTGCGTCGACGTTGCTGCTTCCTGTGAAAAGAGATAATTATAAAGTATACTTTCTCAATTCCTTTACATGATTGTGAATGCAATATAGATATAATAACATCATACAATGAATTTATTATGATAGGATGAGGAAAACAAAAGCGATAAAAAGGTGAACACATGAAAAATTTGAACAAATTATGAATAACTCTACTTTTAAGTAATCAAAAACTTCTAAGTTCAATATAAACTAACTTTAAGATTGAAATAAGTTTGCGATGATGCATCATTACAAACGATTTATGCCATGTTGACAATCAATCGCTTACCCTGCGAAGAATTGAAACTCGCACACGAGTGAAGGAAGTTGTCGTTTAACAAAAAAGATAGGACTATTAGGGAGTAGCTTTCATTTAAGTCACATCACTGACCGTGCTACGTATCTTGGTGTGAGTCTTGATGTGTTTGGTGAGATGATCGGAGCGCATAAACTTCTTCGTGCACTCAGTACACTGGAACCTTTTCTCACCGGTATGCGTGCGATTGTGTCGTTGAAGTTCATCTGAACGAGTAAATTTTTTGCCGCAGAATACCCAACTACAAACGAATGGTCGATCGCCTGTGTGCCATCTCAAGTGAGCACGCAAATGCGACGTCTTACCGTAGACTTTACTACAGCCTGGAATGTGACAAACGTGTTGCCGTTTGCGTGTCATGTCACGATTTCTGAAAATGAGCATTCAACAGTGAGACTGATTCGTTTTAAGATTCAGATAAAGAAATTACAATAAATAAGTACCTATCACCATCGCCACAGTTTGGACAAGTACATGCAACTCGCTTTCTATGCTGCTTAGTAGTTTCCGTCAAGCCTTCACTGTTACCAGTGCTAACAGTGCTAACATTATGTTGGCTCTGTTGGGAAGTAGGTGCTGCTTGCTGCACTTGAACCTGTTGTTGTTGTTGGGGCTGTGGTTGCTGTGTCTGCTGTGGAGTGGCAATAGTTGTTGTACCGTTCGACTGTATTGCCTGGAGAATTTTCCATTGCTGTGGCTCAGCAGTATTTTCAATGTGCACTGTTGCTGAAGTTGCTGCCGGCTGTAACGTTTGTACCGTTGTCGGTTGTACTGCCGAAATGACCTGGACATTACCGAGGCCAGGGATATTTTGTACAGGAATAGACTGCAAGAACCCATTAGCAGTATTTATGCCTGCTGGTTGAAGTTGCATGACTCCATTTCCTAAGTTAACACCACGCATTATTCCACTTTGCTGAGCTGTTAATCCGGTTAATGCTGATGCTGGTATAAGAGTTATCTGCTGGCCTTGTGCACCTATAAATTTTATAAAATAAACATAAACCATGCAATCTTGAATCTCATGAAAAGTGTAAGTAATTACCTGTTATACTAATCGGTTGACCAGACTGTTGCATAGCTTGAGCAGCTGGAATATGTATAACTTGGCTATTGGCAAGTTGACTGGCATCAATGTTTGTAACTTTGATCTCGCTATCTTGTACTTCTTGCTGCTGTCTAAGATTGATTGATGCCACATCAATTTTCTGACCGTCTTTCGTCGTTATGACATTCGAACCACTCGATCTGATTCCCACAACCTGTTGAATAAAATACATTGTTTATTGGTAAAAATTAATTCGGTAATAATAATAATAATAACAATCTTGAAAATAATTACTTGAACGTTGCTCGGTGCCCCATTAGTAGTTTGCTGTGATTGCTGAGTTTGTTGAGCAGCTTGTTGTTGTTGTTGTTGTTGTTGTTGTTGTTGTTGTTGTTGTTGTTGCTGCTGTTGCTGTTGCTGCACGACTTGCTGTTGCTGTTGTTGAGCAGCGACCTGTTGCGCGACTTGCTGTTGAGCTTGAGCTTGCGCTTGTGCTTGGGCTACTTGAGCTGCTTGGACTTGGGCTGCTTGAGCTGCCGCTTGCTGCTGAGCTACTTGTTGGGCCACTTGTTGAGCTACTTGCTGGCCTTGCAGCGACTGTCAAATCAAGGGAAATATTAGTCAGTGTAAAGTCAATTTAGAAAGGTGCAGAAAATTTTTCTAGAATGTCAATTTTCATTATTCTATATCACATGCTCACCTGTAGACTCTGCAACTGTGACAAATTAGCAATTTGCACTTGCTGAATCTGCCCATTAGGCGTAATAATCTGTGCCACTTGCGGTGTAATTTGCTGAAGCAGAGAAAGTATTTCTATTAGCAAAACTGATCAACACCAACAATCAGTCTAACACAACGAATGTAATTTTACCTGTGCGATCTGAGGAATCATTTGAGCTGTGGGCATATTAAAAACATTCGACAGTGCTTGTACGGGAAAGTGAACCGTTTGATAAACCGTCTGGCCATTATTGGTAGTAACAGGTACTTGGACTGGAACTGTGGTTTGTTGAAGCTGCTGCATTGGGAACTGCACTGGTCGAACCTGCACGCTTTGACCTGAAACATCCGAGCCTTCCTTGGAAGCTGCGCGCACGTGGAATACGCACATAAAGGAGCAACGAGGAGATGCGACAGAGTGGTGAGTCAAGCATTAGTATAAGCAACAAATGAAATAAGAGTGTTAATTGTTTTATAAAAATGTGTTTAGAAGAATAAGCTTTGGTTTTATTAGTTTGAAGTTTTGTATTTGGGAAAATCGATCAAACTCTTTGTGGGTTCCAAAACCTCCAAAGCAAAGTCTATATTAGATATATAAAAAGTTTCGTGACTCAGTGTAAAAAAAAGACATAAGATCATAAAATAGTCTGACGTTATACATATCGTGCAAAGTAATCAACCGTACCAGAACAAACGAAAAAATAAAAAAATTTGTTATTAGAAGTTTTTGTGAGAAGTGCATAGATGTTAATTTGCACGTGCAAATATATATATATATATATATATATATATATATATATATATATATATATATATATATATATATATATATATATATATATGAATCGCTACAACCAAGAAGATTTTACACGCAAAAATATATAGAGAAATGTATAAATTATTCATCAAATTATAATCACAAACTTATCGTGTAAAATCCCCTTTTAAAAATAAGAACAAGAAAAATATAAATCATCAACGTCAACCAACCTGTAGGCAACTGAACGGTTTGGCCTAAATTTGTCTGAATAATTGATGCAGGAAACATATTAGGCGACCTAAGCAGACTGACAGCATGAGGATTGATAATCGTCTGTCCATTAGCTAATTGTATCTGCTGTCCTGCAAGCTGTAATTGTTGACCATTAGCTGTGGCAAACTGCATGGTCGGTTGTGTTTGTTGTGCTGCTGCTGATGCCGAGGGAATAAATAGTGCTTCCTGCCCATCAATGTTGATCGTTTGCATAGGCGGTACAACGCTGTAGCTTAATTGTTGCTGCGGTTGCTGCTGCTGTGCCTGACTTTGTTGCTGAACCTGGGCTGCCGCTTGCTGCTGTTGAGATTGCTGAAGAGCTGCTGCTTGAGCTTGACTGTTTACAAGCTGAGCTCCCTACAATTGTATGATGGTTAAATGAGATTTAGGTAAGTAATGGATTAGATTTCTTTGAATATAAGATTGATTTATACGTGTATTAATATGAAACAACATTTCTTGTGATCTTTGAATTACTATAAAAAATACCGATTCTGCTATTCATTTATTTAATGGTGTTTTTGATTTTTAGGCATGCGATTATTAAATGCAATTAGTATTAAATGATAATACATATCTTTATTCTATTAAATAAAAAAGCAAACATAGGAGACATTTTGTTCTATAGATATGTTATCAAACGGTGATAACGTATTTTGTAATAATTTGATTTCATGTACTATACATTCGCAATTTGAAGTTGTATGAGTCATTTAAATAACTTCAAAATTGTATTGTACTTATAGACCAACATTTTTTTAAATTTATTTCTCTTGTTGCTAGGAAATTGGATGCATTTTTAAACATAAAAAGTTTCGTTTACATGACAGCATTCGAAAGTATCCAACTTGTTTTAAGCATCCTCATTGAAAACAATAAAGTTATTACTTGAATGAAAGGAAAATCGGGAGAAAGAAATTCAAACGATAATGAAGTTATCTAAGTTCAATGCCAAACGACTAAAAAAATACATTCAGCATCCCTAAGAAATCGACAATTCTGTATACCTCCTCCAATTCATCCTCCTCGTCATCGTCATCAAATGTTTGCGGTTTATGCCATACATTGATTGGCCAATTACTCCTTCGGTACACGTCAATTTTTTCAATTCGCGTATAGTTGACATTCTGGTACAAGTAAAATGACGAAACTTCTAACATTGCTACACTTCATCAGTGACCTTTTATTATCAAATGAAAATCCCGTTATCGGAACTTTTTAAACTTTCACTTTGTGTAAAGTTACGTCAGCAAAAATAAATATTTAATATGACACCGCAAATTCGCACGGTTTTTTCAACAAAAAACAATTTTTTTGGACATACAACGTTTGTGCGCAACAGACGAAGTATAGACTGCGAGAAGTCAGCGTCGTCGCTGTTATACACACACATGTGATAAAAGCCAATGGTTATCGCTAGATGCCCCGCGAAATCAAATACCCAACCGCGCAGCCAACGTAGCGCGAGCGGGGTGAATTATAAGGGTCACAAGTCAGAGGTGAGCCTCGAAGCAGTAATATTCCTGTGCTGCCTTTCGCTCTAATTTTATCGGTAAATGTGTGTTCTATATTGTACCAAAGTTAATTTTTCATTAATTACGCAGTTTTTCAGATTCTTTTTCTATAATTTACACAGTTTCAAAGACATTATAAAGAAAAAGTCTTTCTAAGATTGCGTCATACTCAAATTGTTATTAAAATATAAGTTTCTTGATTAATAAACTTGAAAAAATGTTCACGGTGAGTCTATATTTATTCTCTAGCCTACTGTACTGAAGTATTTCGTTACTTGAGATCTGAAGTTTTTCATTCACAATATTCTGCGTGAACTACCGATCGAACTGGTGACGAATATAAGATTTTTTTACGAATACTGTTCCATTGCCATTTCAACAAACATTTATAATATTCGCTGTCTTTCAATAAAAAAAATTTACGAAATCGTAGCATTCTTAAAAATACAAATAAAGTGAATACTCTATTTATCCTAAATTTCTAGAAATTTACTATTCATCTTGAATATTCTGTTCGTCATCGTTAAAAAAATCCTTTAAATATATGTTTCTTATGATAATCCTTATTTGTTTGTTTTTGGACTTAGAATTTTGAAGATTTGTATATGTGTTCGATTCGAAAAATTGAAGTATTAAAAATCTTGCTGAATTTATGAGAAACTTTTTTATATGCAACGCACATTTTGATACTAATTAGCTCAGGTGGATCTTAAAACATTTTAGATAGATATGGAATTCTATTATTAAAAAAGTGTGAAAGAATTTTCAGCATTACCCCAGCACTCACCTACCACAAAAGGAATGACAAAAATTCTGAGACTTATTTACTGTAATGTTAATTGAAGACACGCGAATTCGCAAAAGAAACATACCTGTAGAAACTGCTGAGGCAGCGCTTGCATGGAAATCGCACGTTGCTGATCATGCTGCTGCTGCTGTTGCGCCTGCTGCAGTGGCATGAAATTTTGTAACTGTTGCAAGGTGATAACCTGCGGTTGCTGCTGTTGCTGCTGTTGCTGAGCTGCCGCGGCATCTTGTTGTTGTTGCTGCGCTGCCGCTAAGAGTGCGGATTGCTGCTGCTGCTGCTGCTGCAACTGCTGCAGTACATTGGCGTTGAGAAAGCGTATTTGCGCTTGTTGTTGCTCCAATTGCTGCTGTTGCTGTTGCTGCTGCTGCTGCTCCACTGCCTCTTGCTGAGCTTGCTGCTGGGCTTGTTGCTCGCTTTCGTCCAATTCCTCTTGCTGTAATGAGAGCATGTTTAGTAATGCCGAAGTTTGTTTTAGGTATCAGCGGTTGTAGATGCTTTTCACATATTTTTATCAATTAATGAGTTTGTGAGTTGTATATATACCTCGGAAATGAGCTCGGGGATTATTTGCGCCAACTACGGTGATTCGGACACAAAAAAAAACGACGTCAATTAGTATGTGTGCATTTTTTGTTGTCGCTGGTCATTTGGTTAAGATATATAGATATCAAATGACGTGGTGTAGTCTTAGAACTGAGCGACATGTGCATTGGGTGAATTTTTATGAATTCAACACCGCCTCGGGGAATTGTCGTTCTTTTTTTTTCATGTAGACGAAGGTACTGCCAGTGTTTTTTTAATAGCGAGTGTGCAGTATGTTCTACTTGTGCTATTTTAATAAACTAAAATTGAGTAAAGACAATTAGCGTTAAGATAAATTAAAAAATTTTTTACCAATTGTAATCCAAAAAAAAATTTGTATATTTAGTTGGCTACATTTTTTTCGATCTTATACAATTTGATTCAACGCGAATTTTTCAATTTATTTTATTTTACATGATGTTTTTTTTTATCGAACGTGGAAAAAAATATTATTTTCTTTAAAAAAAATTATTTAACATCGGCCCTTTCTAGGCGTAAAAGATTCTAGACAATAGAATCGTACATTTAATCGTTTTCTAATAATAAACAAAACTTTAAATATTAAATTATTCATCTAAAAATATCTATTGTCGAATATCCTATGCAAATTTTTAATTGATTTATCTGTAAAAAGTTGACGTGTCCTAAGTTATTTATTTTCTAATAAATAACTTTGTATTTAACATGTTCAATTAAAGAAACATCACTTTGACTGGTATATTAATAAATTCATATTGGATCAAATCGTACAGGACCAATATCAGTAAGAAACAAATTCTACCATCTAGTTCAATCAAATATCTACTAAGTTATCAAACAGCAATTACAAAGCAGGCAATAAAATAATTATTTTATTGGATTTTATTGAACATGCTGTGACTAAAAATCCCATATATATCCAAATCAGTATTTATGATATTACTAGTAAAAAAGTTTTTTAACAGGATGCATTCTCGGAAGAAATTATTTTTATCTTAGAATATTTGTATTACTTTAAGAATGATTAATTCAAGATATGCAACAAATATAATAAAAACTAGATTACAGTGATCGATAATTATTATAATCATAGTCGTTACCAAAAACAGTCTACTCCGAAAGCAGATATACTAAACTACAGATCCAACACCAAAATCTACGTAAAAAAAAACCACTTTGTTCAATTACCAGTCCATACACTTGAATTCGCACACCGAAAACACAACCTTCTTACGCACCAACAGCCCGTAACCAAATGACCAGTAAGTGCAGTGTCGGTGAAACATGCACGAGGATTTTCCCAAAGCGTGCCGACCCAATGCCTCCTCCCTATTCGTTTTTTTTTCGTTCAAAAAGCCGCCTCCGATTCCCCCTCCACTCTACATGTGAACCCCGCTGGGAGGATATGTGCGTGAGCCACGCCGTTTGCGCGCCAAATTCGCCTGTAGGGACTTGGGCTTACAGCTTGTCAATTTTTGGGGCCTCTGCAGTCGTGCGTATGTATAAGGTTTCAATTTTCTTTTGTGGCTTGGCTAATATGGCTTTAAGGTTTGATAACTCAGTCACGAATGGACAATGGGAAAAATGTAATATAGGAATTAGCTCGATAATTCCTGTAATAATGATTTGTTTGAAAATGTTAGTTTAGAAAAAGAGATGTGGAATAAAAATCTATTATTTTTTATTTCGCCGTCGCGAAACTGGAAGAACAGAAACACTTGATTGCAGTTCAATAACAATTCACCTGTTAACACCAGGTATAAAATTTGTAGTTACTACCGAAAAAAGGACTATTTTGACGCAACGTATTTGTGTGATTTTACAGTAGTCTACAACAGCGCGGCCGTGTTGCGAAGTTGATACCTTTTACGGTACATTGTAAATTCCATCCTGAGGGCCCCAAAGTTGTCGACGACCGTGCCATTAAATGACTTTATGGGCCTTATAGCCTTAGGCTTTGGATTCCCCAATCTTACGGGAGGAGAGAGTAAAACGGTTGTGTCTCGAGCTCGACTTTGTTGTCTTACAAAACAGCCTCGTGAAAGGGAAAACAGACGTAATTTTTTCCAACAATAGACTTTCATTTCCATAACGAAGAATAATTATTTCTTGAAAACGATAACAATCAAAATGCAACACGTCAGCTGCCAACTTTAAATTCAAATCTAGCGCGGGTCCGACAACTACGAGGGGGAGTGTTCTGTGTAAAAGCCGCTTAGGTATATATATCCTTTTTCACCAGAGAAAGTAGAAGAGAAAAAAGGGAGAGGCGAACAACGGCGAAGCCTCGCGGTATATAGCATGCAACACCCGCCCACTTGGCGATTGGACGTTCCACAGACCCTCGAGCTCTGCGAGCTTCGCTCCCCTTTCTATTTCATTTCGGTAATGACACGAATGTATACGGCGCTGCAGCGGGAGTTACTTTGCCGCTTGCGCGCCCTATTGAATTGCCTGCGTCCGCGCGACTGATATTTTTCGTCACTTTCCACATAATAGACGCATAGAGAAATTCGATATGCAGTTTGGCCGATGAATAGTCTCAATATACTATTGTTGACAAACACGGTTGAATAATATATCTGAAAATTTCGCTATTCAATTCGACAAAGCTGAAAGAAATGCCTTAAGGAAGCTTCCGTAAATACTTCTATAATGTATAATTCTATCGCTTCCATCAGGCACTGGGCAACACGAGCGGACGGCCGAAAAGGCGTGGGAGAAATCATCGAAGTCTGAAAACCGCGCCAGCAGCAGCTAAAAAAGGGAGGTACAGTAGTCGCAGCAGCTGTTCGCGTGTTCGTCCGCTGCTAAAAAGGGGGATGAATTTCGTCTCGTCTCTCCCTCCGCCCACACAGATAACGACGACTAAAAGGGGGCCTCGTCTCTCTCTCTCTCTCTCTCTCTTAGCGCGGAGTACATACGGCCTCCACCCACTCTCACTCAGAGCTAAAAGCACGTGGTCGTGCCCGAAAAGCCCACCTACCAGCCATATACTCTAATGTATGCACGCGTTAGAGAGAGAGAGAGAGAGAGAGAGAGAGAGAGAGAGAGCGAGAGAGAGACGAGAGATGACCACGCGGTCTTTGGGTGGTCTTCGAAAGCCGGTTTTCATTCGAGTTCCAACTCTCGGCCGCGCCACACACGCTACTTGTTCGATTCGATATGATGACCACGTTATATATACATCATAGCCTCTCACTTGCTTCTTCTCTCCACATACTTCCACTTCCAATCGATGATCTTTTCTACTTTCGTAGATGAACAGATGCGAGAAATCAGCAATCTACCAGAGCATTTTGGGCAATCTGCTTTTAGCATGCTGATTCTTACTTAAATGAGCCGAACAAATTTGTTCGGAACCATTAAAAATAATTGGCTGGCTTGAGAGAGAAAGAGAGAGTGAGAGTACAAAACCTTTTTGTTTTTTTTTTTCATCGGCGAGTTGAACAATACAAATTGTCTAGGTACATATATATGCGAGAGTTCAAAGTTACGTTGGATATTTTAATTTTAATGCGTGACAGTATACAGTACCGTGAAGAAAAGTATTTAATTTCACCGTACACACATCGACGTACATCGCGCTAGTTGCTCTCTCTCTCTCTATCTCTCTCTTTTGGATCGTACCGACATACATGCAATGCATGCAAAGTTGTCGAGAGAAAGAGAGAGAGAGAGCGTATATTTAGCCTTTACGAATCACACGGTATATCCAACACACAAACGCTCGAAATAGTCGAATCGTCTCCTCTCTCTCGCTCTCTCTCTCTCTCTCTAAAATGCCAGGTAGTGGAGTATTCAGTATACCCAATGTAACGCATGCATGAACCCAAATCCGGACTATTTAGTGCAATTACCTTGTCGACCTGCTTTATAGTCACTTGAGCCATGTCTCGTTGTTATAGTCCTTGAGCCTTGGCTTGTAAGACTCTCTTTTTTTCTCTCTCACTCTTTCACGAAACTCGCTTGGTCGTTCGTGCTCTCTCCCTTCTCGTTAAATTTGCAGTCAAGGAAACGGCATCTGCACACACAATCACTGATATCGTAGTTACACGCAGTGCACCCGCGGCGGCGGCAAACGGGCAACGGCAACGAACCGGGAGAATCTCCGCCGTCGGATAGGTGTGTCGCTTCTGGGAGGACGCCTTCCTTAACTCTCCGTGACGCCTTTTCGGCCCCGCAAAGCACAGACCAACACACGCACACGCCTAGAAATAGAATGCCAGATGTGTATATGCGGCGGTGACTGTGTGAGAGAGAGGGAGACAAACTGAAGCCAATGCGCCGACGCGAACTGCCTAACTGCTTGGCGTCGGGACCGTTCGTTTTTCAAAATGACGTCGTGTTACCCATAAGTGACTGTCAGCATTTCTTTGTTTTGCAATTTATTCGACAAATACCTTACATCTAATAATTGTTTGTTTTTACATAATCTACGATATAATCTAGCACAGTGGTTTTTTTTATACCAATATAATGAAAATATATGGAGTTTACGGTTTTCAGAAAATTATGACTGTCAAATACTATAAGTATGTTCGATCAGACCTAAACTTCAGAACATTTTTTAATTCGTTTGTGGTCGCGTTATTTTGTTGATTCTACATAAGATAATCGATTAATACTTCGATTCGATTACTTTAATAAATATAATAAGCCTTTAAGAATTATTTTTATTGTGCGCCAACTTTATAAAAATGAATTTTGATTGATAGCATTAATTAGTCTGTAGATCGGTTTCACAAACGACGATATAAGGAATTTTTTCTATGCAAGTGTCATAAAAATAAATAAAAAAAACATCATGTTCGTAGTTGAGGATAAAACTATCTGTGTTAAATGAATATTGTCGAAAATATTTTAGTTTAGATTGACAAAACTGACAAAACTGCCGGTCATCGCACGTAGCATTTGAAATCTCCCGCGCTACTTCAAACTCGAGCCAAGTGATTGGCCAATACAATTTGTGAAAGGCATAGCCTCGGAAATTGTGGAGTTGCAGCAGCTGGCGGCGTGTAGAAGAGAAACGATGATATTAACACACGCCCTCAGCGCTCATACTCAAACCTAACACATAAGCGAGAAAGAGAGAGAGAAAGGCAAAACAGGAACGTTGGTATACATCCTACCTACGACGCCCATCGTTCGCTTGTCCGCTTACAAATACATATACATATATACATCCTGCGCACTGGGCTTTCTAAAAGTGTATAGTATAGTATGTACTATGCAGGCAGTTTGCCAATCGATATACAAGGCTCCCCAAAACCTTATGTACATGCGTGTGCGTGCGGGCGCGTGTGCGTGTGCATTGTTTCGTATTATACGAAAAGGTTGAATATATATATATATATATATATAGGAAAAATATAGGGGGGCAAAAAGAGCGCGAGAGAGAAAGAGAGAAAAGTGGCGTGGTGTTTGAAACAATGGAACACAAAGAGAGAGAGAGAGCGCGTGGCGGCGACGACCGCCGCTGAGCACGGTACGTAACTGCGGGGCGGCGCGGAGAACGCGATTGGGTAGAGCATCGCCCCTCGATGATCTCGCCCCCTGCGTTATACCCAACGCCGACCACGTGCTTTTAAAACCGCGCGCGACAGCGTGGTACGTATATATAGAACGCGCGTGGGCGGCTCGATGATTTCGTTGAAATGCCGAGCTCGACTCGAGGCTGGCAATATTTGTATTTTCGTCAAATAATTTTACCGTCTCTTGGGAAAATACAAGCATCTTCGGCGGTGAGTATAGTTCGGCGTAGTTTCCACGCCGGCCCGGGTTCAGCGAAATTGCCAAAGCCAATGTGCGTCTCGATGAAAAGCGAATTGATACGAGTATTACCGCGAATTTGGCACGTTCTGCGGGCAAAAGCGTATATACGTCGATTATATTTTTCTTACGTAAGAATGCAACTCGTTATTAATCTCCTACTTGAACGCTTAAGTGGCGTATTGGTGTACTTCGATCGCTATCTCCCGTAAAATTATTCCGCCGGCATCTTTATTCCAACGCGCGAACTCTAGCTGGCTTCCTCTTGCAGGGTGACGTGTGACCTGCTCTCTGCCAGCAATAGTTCCTGATCGTTCGATCGTTTCGACTATAAAAATCAAAGCTCTTCGTAGCCTTCGGAGCGCTTCTACGCTGGCGTCGTTCGGACCAGCACGTTGGTCGAAATTCCATAAACCATGGAAGCGGCGCGACGCCGCGCTGCGTGAAAGCACGCGCGAGATATCTCGCAACGCGGCGATACAGTATCTGCGCGACAAAAGGTTATTGGACAGCCGCGTCCTCGAATGAGATCGGAGGTTGTTCTCTTTGGACACGTGCGCTCACCGCGAGCATTGGGAGGAGTCGGGCGGATCGCCTGGTGCACGGCCCTCGATGCACGCAATTTTTGCGGCCGCGCGCGCGCACACACCAAGTTCGCGCCTCGCCGTGTGTTCTGCGCGCCTTCCCTCCACTCTCCGTGGCTTGTATAGGCGTGGAAATACCATCGCTGGCCGACTGCGTTATCGCGAGTATGACCCTTATTGGAGAACCGATGATATAGGCGTTCGCCAATTGCCATAGCGTTGCCAACGAATTTGCGACGCTTTTTTTCTTCCCGAAAATTACTAGTCGATTGGTCAACGTCCACGCGATACGCGTTATACACACAATTACCTTTTACAACTATATTGGCAGATGCGAGAGCGCCATTTTTTCATTTTCAAAATGTTAACAGGACATTTATGAAATCGATAGTTGCGATTGGAATTTCGTGCAATTTCGCCTCGGACAACTATTACACGGATAAATATATACTGCACTTTTAAGCGGCGCGTTCGTGTCAAACCGATAGTTTAATCGTGAACGTACGATTACAATTGCCCAACTAATAATGTCATTTGAAGGAGCCCGCCTCGATGCAACTTTTGAAAAAGCCACTCGTCGATTGACGGATTGATGCCGGGTATAAATGGCATGTGGTGGCACTTGTATTTGAGAAGCTCTCGAGTTGTCGGGCTAGAGGGAAATATCATGCAGGGGGAATTGGTACCAGACTAAAAAAGAAAGAGAGAGAGAGAGAGACCACCTGACGACATCGCCTCCCACGATACGTAGCCGAGTTCTTGACTATGTTTGCACTGTTTTTATATATATATATATATACATATATGCTCATCTGCCGTCCATTTGACGCATATGTTTATTCAGGCTTGGCTTGGAAGCGCACACTGGTCGCTGCTCTGTCCCCTGTCGGCGCGAACCTTTTATATGAAGTGGCGCACGAGAGAGACGCGCGCTCCGGCTATCCGTGCAATTTAGCGTGCCAAATCAAGGATCCAATGCGCGAGCGCGCGCGAGGCGTTGAAATTCGAGTCTGACATCTTAATTTTAATACATCGTACGCCGCGGCCAAGTTATAATTTGCCCCGGAGGATCCCAAATTCGGAGCTCGGGGCCCCTTTTTGATGTATACCTGCGCGCCGCCGCGTTTCTCGAGAAACAGAAAAGATAAAGATCTCTCGAGACTGCAGCGAGGTCATCATAAAGCACATCGGCACGCAGCAATCTATATGTTAAAAAGCGCGGCGCCCAGGTCATCTCTCTGGCTATATATATACTTGGCTTGTATACCTGAACCCGCCCCCCTACGATAAAAGGGGAGGCTGCTCGCGTGCGGCGCTGAGGGGCTGGAGATTCTGTGTTATAGGACACACCCTGATGAGCGTGCGGCCTTGGCTCTCTCTCTCTCTCTCTCTCTCTCTCTCTCTCTCTCTCTCTCTCTTCGACGATATAGCTAGTGCGAAGTGAATGCCCAGCGTGATGCGAAGATTATTCCCTGTGAAGTTTTAGAGGGGACTCGCGTATTGATCTGTTTCACATCAGATGATGCAGTTATTATTTTTTTTTTTTTTCATTTCTTTGTTCGCCGATGTGATTCGAACGGTGCGCTAGTTCCGTTGCCGCTCATCGGAAGCTTCGCCACGACGCGTCTTTTGTGTGCCGCCGCGTGTCGCGAAAGAAAAGCTCCGATGAACCGAGCGACCGATCTTTCGCTGGCAATTTTAGGGTCCACGAAGGAAATTGGCGATGGGCCTTCTATTTTTGGCTCTGACAGGAAGTTCACGGCAGCTCTTGAACTGTAAAAATACTTGTTCGTGTCTGGAACGACCTCGCTTCTCCTTTCTTCGCTCCCTTAATGCCAGTGCGCTTGCCAGTGACACTTGTTGAGTGCTTTTTCTTACCGAGCGCAGCAAATATTGGCCGTCTTCTGGAAGGTCTATCTCGCTTAAGCTTTTGAAAAATCGTAATTTCGAATACTCTTCTTTATGAGGCTAATGGAATTTACTTTGTAACGAATTACTGTTACTGGAAATTATAGAGGAGGTAGAACGCGTGAAATTTAATTTTTCATATTTGCGTGTTCGCTTTATTACACAGATTATCAATCCTATAATTTAATCAATTCGCCAAAATCTAATTCCTCGGCATTTAATTATACAAGGATAAAATATTTATTTCAATATTTAAATAAATAAAGTGATGTTGAACGAGTAATAATGTTTACTATATAAATGAATGTCATAGTTTTTCATTTTTTTCAAGTGTAATTTGCAAAACAAAATTTCAAAATTAATTATTTGAATTGGCACAATTACCCTTCGTTCCGCTATATTGAAGAACAGAACAAAAATGCATAGATTCATTGTCAGATGAATGAAACAGATTATTATAGGAGTAGGTCAAGAAATAAACAATGGATTACGAGAATTTTCAGTTTTATATTTAACACGAATGTTATACAAATCGCTTCCAGTGAGATATTTTTTTTAATAATCGCGAATTTCCTCTGTCAATAAAGACAAATACAACATTTATGATATTGCTGGTAAAATGAATAAATATTCGTCGCGCGCGCTCGTGAAATATTATTGTTTGAATCCCATAATTAAGTCTAATGTTTAGATACAATAACAATTTCAAGGTCACACGACTTTACAGAGATATATAAGATGAGTTTTTACTTTTTATCTTTTGTTTTCTTATGTACACACACGCATCTATAAATAAAATTCATAATTTCACCGTTACACATGTAAAAGTCACTTCGCTTTTGATATAAGAAGTTCTATATCTTTCTTTTTTATTTAATATCGAAAAAGGCAAAGTTTCCACTTTATAACGACGAAAGTTACGCCTTAAGCGTCTGCACGTATATAATCAAGTATTACATAATTAATCTCATTATTGACGTCCTTTCCTCGACGTTTTACACCTTTAAAAAATAAACGAACAAAAAATATAATAATGCATAACATCTTTCTTAAAAACCACGTATATTACACATGTTTTCATTAGTTGACACTGTGATTGATCGACCAAATAAATATTACTAATGCCTTTTTCAAAATAAGATGTTTAGTGAATCAATTAATCACTGTACTGAGCTAATTCAATGAAAGCTTTTGTTCATTATTTGAAGCAAAGCGTCACTCGATATTTCTATTCGTCTTATTCGTTAGAATTGCCTAGTAGAGTGGATATACATCCTGTGTAAAGTGGCGAGGTAAAAAGTTACCCGAAACGCCGTAATGTGACGCTTAAAATGTAACCAATTCTTTTTTTTTACACGTAATGCAATAAATAATGCGATGACTGACGCCAATAGACACAAAGATTTAAGAGAAAGATATAAGAATGAGCTAATGGTAACGCGAGAAAATGGGAGATGCGGACAATTTATTCATCTATATAAAATGAACGACGGCGACTCGTTTAAAGTCCACCGCCAGACCGTTCCACGCTGATTTTCTTCTTGAGCACGTCCTTTTCGTGTTGAGCTTCCTCCATCTCAGCCATTCTTGCGAATCTCGAGTACGCCACATGACCGGACTTTATTGCGGACATCATCTGTGAATTACATAGTAAATAAATCAAATTAGTGTGCGTTTACTTAGCTCATGACAGAATTAGATGCATTTCTCTCTTTTTTTCAACTACGCTGTACTCATGATTTACGTTGGTAACATTTGGGATGACTGTAAAATATTTACAGATTTGCAAACTTTTGCTACATATAAAGTATTGATAAATTATCAGTACATTGTTTATAGTTCAACATCATGCACGATCAAAAATGGATCATTTGAAGACTATCCTTTGTAAATGCAAGAACAAGTAATTTCTATGTTTACTTAAAATTTCAAATATTCGCGAGAGATAGTATAGCAATTTTATAACTTTTCGAAATAAAAACATATCTTCAAACTGATCAATCTTTGTTAAATTCATATCTAAAGCTGACTTCTGTAAAAATTAGGAGTCATACCAAAATCGGTTCGATAATTTGTTATGTTTATTCATCTTAAAATTGTTCAGTTTTTAATATCCTAAATAAATAGCAATATTGAGTGTTTAGATATGAAAATATAATTTTAATTAGAATTGGATTTAAAATTCCTTAGAACTAGTTAACTATATTTTCGTCTATTTTTATCAAAATCAATTATTATGGAATAACATTATTTAAATAATATTGATCGTTCGTTTATTGTTGATCAAATTCAATTATTCATCCGTTTTGTACAGATACCGATTCTACACGAATTTAAAAATTTTGCTTATTTAACGTAATACTTTTGTATTGAACACGAAAAATGAAGTACTATTTTCTTGAAAAATTAAATATTATTTGATATTAGATTTCTATCGAAATATTAAAAAATGATTGAGAAAAAATATTCTATAAGACATCATTGTACATTTTTAGTAATTATAATTTTATGTTTTCTGTTCAATTAAAAAATGTTATGTTTAATATTAGATTTCTATCGAAAAATTAAAAAATGATTGAGAAAAAATATTCTATAAGACATCATTGTACTTTTTTAGTAATTATAATTTTATGTTTTCTGTTCAATTAAAAAATGTTATGTTTAATACGTAAAATTAAAAAATTCGCGTAGAATCAAATTTTGTAGAAACGATATCTATACGAAATGAACCCGGCCGATTAATAATGCAAGGTAATGTTTATTATCTTAAACAGAATCCATACACCATAAAAGTAGGTTGAAAAATCTGGACAACTGAAGTTTCGATTTTAGGGTCCGTCGCCATAGAGTTTTCGAAATTAAATTATTCGTTATAGTTACATCTGTTGCAAAACCGATACTCAATGTTAAAATTATTTACACTTGTAAATTCTTCAATATAACGAAGTTAGTATAAGGATTCTTTTTAATAATCGTGCTTTCAATATCATAACTGGCTAAAGCAAATAAAAATTGATAATAAATAGAACTCCTTTCGATTGGGTATATTCAGCGCGCAAATAAAACATTAAGCATAATTTTAAAAACAATTCACTTTTTTATAGTAAATAAAGCCACGCAACTATTTCCTACGCCATTCGCAGGTATAGGTTCGATTGGAATAACGCAAGGAATTAAAGTATCGACTAGCGATATTTCACAGCTCATTTTGGTGAACATCGCTAGAAAGAAATGATTAGTGCAGGATGCATTTTCTAGTGGGAATGATAACAAGCACAGTGTTGCTAAAATATTATTAAGGATAGATTTCCTGAATGATTATTAAAACACATGCACGAAAAATATTAAATTAATATTCAGGAAAGTATCCGTTGATTTTTTCTTGCACACTGTAACAAAGCTGAATTTTCTCCGCAATATTAGTCTGATTAAATCTTGTGAGAAAAGTGTTCTTGTTTTTTTTTGTTTGTTTGATGTCACTAGCTGACAGACCTGAAGATATTCGTCCAGTTCGACTTGACCGTTCATGTTAGTGTCGATTTCTTTCAAGATTTCGTGAAGCTCTTCACCGGGAACGTCCTTGTCACCGAACAACTGCGCAATGCAAAAAGAAAAACAAAGCTTTAAAATTACCGTCAACTAGCAATTACCTGTAGATAATCTTGTAGTTCCAGCTGCCCATTGTAGCTGACATCCACTTCGTTTAGTAACAAATGCATTTCTGGATCACTCAATATAATGCCGCATGCCTATACATTGTTAAAAAGTCATTTCGTTCAGTTTGTTTTTCTTATTTTTAATTAACTTTTCGCTTGCGCGTAAGCATTGTGAAAATCATAAATTTTGTTAAAAATCTAAAATATCGTAAAAAATTGATAAAAGTCATCTAATGGTATAATTTAAAATCAAGAAATCCCGTTTTTGACGAAAACTCAATGTCGATGTCAATTGAACCTTAAGTCCTCGTCTGATGTCATTAATGGAGACGTATCCCTTGCGATCTTTGTCGATAATCTGGAAGCGTTTGATGTACAATTGAATCTCGTCTTTGGTAAGATTGATAGGAATCTTATCGCGCGACGCTCTGTTCACGATTTGTCCCATCTCGTTAGCCAAAAACACGTTAGCCTCCTTCAATTGTCTTTTTTTTTCGTCCTCGCTCCACTTCAACTCTTCAGCCATAATGTCGACGATCATCGGTAATGCTTCGTTCGCTGCTTGTACGTTCAAGAATGACAATCGTAGTCTACGCGCAATCATGTCGATTGCTGTTCTCGCGTACTCACGGCAACCATAACGAACCTGTTAAAGGATTTATCGAAATAAATATCAATCAGTTTGTGGTCTAACAAGATAACAAAAGGTTACCTCCGCATCGATATACGGAAATTCAGGATGTAACTTCTTGCCGATGATGGGCCATCTTTTGCCGGTAAGTGCAGCCATTTTTGCAACAGCGAAAGCACGATCGCCGTAACTCTTGGCTAAATGTTGAGCGACTTCGCATTCGAGACCAAAGTCCTGTACCAATCGAATGTACATAGTAGGTGAGAAACCATGAGCACCCTCCAACAGAAATCCGTCTGTTTGACATCCTCTTTCGGGTTTCAAGTCGCATGCTACAAATGGCGCAATTGTTTAATCCGAAACGAAACTTCGTATAAAGAAGACAAACCTTTGATAGCCTCGTCGATGGTTTCCATAGCCATAGCTCTGTAAGTGGTCCATTTACCACCAGCTATGGTGATAAGTTTTGATGGGCTAACGTGAACGATATGATTACGGGCTAGCGATTGAGTATTTGGTTTGTTAGGATCCGAGACAAGTGGTCGGATGCCACTCCATGCCGACAATACATCACCACGTCGCACTTCAACGTCGGGATTCAGGTAATTCTTAACTTCCTGTAGAATGAACATGATTTCGTCCTCGGTCGGTTTGGGATTATGCGTGATATTACACGGCAAATCCGTCGTGCCGGCGATCGTGTGCTTCTGCCATGGGAGGAAGAAAATTACACGACCGTCGCTTGTTGCTGGATCGAGCAAACCCATTTGGTCGGGACTGTAATAACCGGGTAGGACAATGTGTACACCTGACGATGGACAGCAGATTTCTTGGACACTTTGATCGTCCATTTTACGTATAGAATCGGTGAATGGCCCAGTTGCATTGATAATCGCTCGGGCTTTTACGTCGAACTCTTCGCCGGTAAGTTCGTCTCGTACACGAGCTCCTGTCAGTACTCGCTTGCCGTCCTATCGAAAAAAAAATTATTTTTTTAATTTGGATGGTAAAATCGTAAGTAATAACTTTGGAATAGCGTTCAACATACTCTGTCTAAACCTTTGAGAAGATTCGTTACGCTAACGTGATTAACAACGGTTGCTCCGTGCCTTGATGCAGTTAATGCCACGGCAAGATTCATTCGAGCGTCATCTTGTTGTCCTACATTAAACAAGTAACATGCGTATATGTATTTATTAAATTCAAACATCGATAATTGAAAAGCTTCGACAATTCAAACGTTTACACTACATTTGTTTGTTTTTTTTTCAATCTTGTAATTCAAAAATATTATTTTAAGGAAATAGAACTTGCTCAATATAGCATTTTACAATTCGATGAACTTATATTAGAAACCTAATTTTCCTGATGATTCGAATTATCGAGGTTCGCGCGTGTAGTAACAAAGAATATTAATCATCTTATGTTACCATCGTAATAAACAATCGCGCCAGTCAATTTGTCACCCTTCAACATAGGGAACAGCTCGAGTGCATTCTGTTTACTCAGGTAATACGAAGATTTGACGGTTTTACTGCCAGCCACAAGGTCGTACGCTTTGATACCCACCCAGTAATAAGGTATCTGCCACCATCTGGAGGTAAAAAACGAAAATCGTGTGAGGTTGTTTTGTAGGAATAAGGTAAACTTTGTGTAATATTAACTGACGTGTAAACTGGAAGCATAATTGGTAGAGGGTGGGCGAGATGCGGGGCGTTATGTATCATCGATGCTCGCTCGTGCAAGGCCTCCTTGACCATTCTGTATTGTTCGATGTCGAGTTGCATTATGGCCTTTTGCAAGTATCGTACGCCACCGTGGATCAATTTCGTGCTTCTCGATGACGTGCCAGACGCGAAATCGTCGCCTTCTATCAGTGCGGTTTTCAAACCTACGTTATAAGTTTAGTTTCATTTTTAGTTTCCAAATTCTTTCGTTTTTTTTTTTTTTTTATCAAAGCATGCTTTTAACGAGTCTACTATTAATTTTTAATTAAAAATTTTAGGTTTTTCTGAAAACGCCTAAAAATATTCAACATTTTTAAATTTATTTTGAATATTTATACAATATTCAAGAGTTTTTTCAATGTGCGAATATAACGGTTAATGAAAAATGATTTGTAAGAAGTTAATCAATTTAAGACTTCAAAATTTTGTGGTTTATTAAACGAAGCTTGCATATTTGTCATCTCAAAAAAATACCGTTATTGTATGAAATTATATTCTTTGTAAATCGGTAGGTAAAATCATCTAAGTGGCAGCTGTTCCAATGCAACGTTCGCTTCCACTCTTTTAATTTTCTATTCGTCAGAAGAGCATTCTTTTTGAAAAAAACTTCAAAAAGTAAAACTAAAATGAAAGCATATCTCTGAAATGATCAAAGATAAAGAAATGTACCTCGTGTACAAGCATCGAGAGCGCATCCTGCTCCAGTGGCTCCGCCTCCGATGATAAGCACGTCGTATATTTCTCCTTTCTTCAGGGTTTTCACTTGATCCTCTCGCGATGGTAGGGGCCTTTTTGGTGGGCGTGCTTTTTCTGCGTGTACCTACGACAAACGAAATATATATATGCTATATATAGCATTTTCCGTCTTATTCTCTTCTATTTATATTAATGCTTGAACTTTGATGTTTCATTCATTTGTTTTATTGTTGACAGTTCATAACATTATTTCATAATATTTAGTATAATATTAAATCAATTGAAATAAATCAATACAATAAAACAACTACGCTTTAATTTTGTTTCAATATTTTAATATTATTCTAGTATTCTAAGCGACAAATAATAACCATCGATTAATTGGATTATTGAATCGGTATTTTATCTGTTTACTATTGAGAGTTTGTGAAACAATTTAAATAATTAAAAATTTTGAAATGAATTCAAATCTGCTAGTTATGAACTCTTGTCGGTAAGTTAGTCTTTTACTTATCCGCTGAGTCGAAGCGAATGTTACGAACGGTGGCGTCAATCAATCAATAGTTATTTTTAAACAAAAAAAAGTAGTATCCGTTAGTGATCAGTTGGAGCGCTAAAACTAATATTTACAACGTTAATTCGCAATTATTTGATGTTAGAAAGGTCAATACAACTTGTTCCAAAGATGTTCTTTGAATATTTAGCGTGAGTGATGAAATTCAATCAAATGAATCAAATTTCAATTGACTCTATTGAGGTTAAATAGAATAAAGAGAAAAATAATAGTTTAACCTTGTTTATTTTTTGAAATCTCACTGAAAAAAGTATGTTGTGAACAATCAGAATCAAAAACTTGAATTGTAAGTATCATATAACTTATCGCAACAATTCTATTCTTAAGTAAACATTACGAAACGCAATGTTAATTGGGGCAATTTTGCAAAGTTTATTGACTGAATTATTATTTTATTTACAGTATCATCATGGTGAGAACATATCAGCGAAAGTCTACTTATAGTAAATATAACAAAGAACACATCTTGCAAGCTGTTAAAGCAATAAAAGTTGATTCCAAATCATTGACAAAAGTAGCTGATGAATATGGGATCAAAGTGTCATCCTTATACTACCACTTAAATAGATATAAATATTATGATTTTACCAAAGAAAAAGAAATCAAAGCTCTGAAAAATTTTAATCAAGTTTTTACTAAAGAACTTGAATATGAATTTGTAGAACAATTTATAGATGCCACTGATTATTGTACAGGATTAGGTCCTTTAAATATAAGAAAATTTGCATATGAGTTTGCTATGCAAAATGAACTGGATTTACGTCAAACTTGGGTGGAAAATGAAACTGCAGGAGAGGATTGGTTGAATGCTTTTTTGAAACGTCATCCAACTATAACTAACATTGCTAGTTATAATACACATAGTATCCAAACATTTTATAAAAACTATGATGAATTGTTGAAAAGGTTTAAATTTCAAGATAGTAAAATATTCAAAGTCGATGAAATCGCTTTCATCACTACTGCTGATCAGCCTAACAGAGTTTTTGCAAGACGTGGTAGAAAGGAGTCTCTTGAATTAGACTTTACAGGAACAGGTATTAATCAATAATAAAAAAATGCTATTTTTATTCACATACATTATTTCTCAATTCTACTGATACATATTTTTATTTAGATGAACTTATAACTATGGTGTCAACAATATCAGCAAATGGTTCAGCTCTGGTGCCTATGTTTAAAATACCAAGATCAAGTTTCACATCTGATATGATAGAAAAAGCACTGGAAGGATCTCTGAGAGTATCAAATAAAAGTGGATGGTTGTCAAAAAGTGATTTTCTAGAATATCTTGCACATTTTGTAAAAACTGCAAAATGCAGTAAAACAGATCCATGCTTAATAATTCTAGATAATCACGCATCTAGTTTATCACTTGAAGCAATAACTTATGCTAAAGAAAATGGTGTATACATGTTGATCTTACCTTTACATACTTACAATCAACTTCAGCCACTGAAAGAAAGAGTGTTTAATAATTTGAGGACTAAAGTTAATATAGCTTGTGCTAAATGGGATTCTGCTTGTTTAAAACCATTGAAAGTTAAAGACATTTTAAAAATAGTTGAAAAATTATTTCCTCAAGTTTTTAAAAATTCTGACATCAAAAAGGGATTTGAACTAAGTAATCTCTATCCTTTGAAATATGCAATTGCAGTAGGTGATGATCAGTATACATACGATGTTAATCAATATAATAATACTAATTCAATTGAAGATCAGAAAGTTATAATTTCAACTGAATTTGTAAATATACAATCAGCAAAGGATGTACAGTCTTCTACAAAAATGCCACTATCAGAAATTGAATTGATACTAGGAATTAGTTCACCAATAGAAAAAGAAATAGATCAAAAAGATATAATAAAAATTGAACAAGAAAAGACCATAAATGATCATGAAATTGAAAAAAAGGCCATAAATGATTACGAAATTGGTGAAAGTGAACAGAAAATTAATATTAAAAAAAAGAGAAATCAAAGAGCTACAAAAACCGGAAATTTAAAAAAATTGATTAAAAGGCATAAAGTTGAGAAATTGGAGAAAAGTGCAGCAGTGAGAACAAAAAGAAGAAGACCTAAGTTAAATTCTAAATTATCAGATTACATTTGCTATTAATCAGGAGTACACAGGACAAACCACGTTTATTCAAAAATATTGTGATTGTAAGTGCAAAAACCAAATTTTTGATAAACATTAGAATTGTACATATAGTACATCAGCGATTTTATTTTTTTAGATATAGTTTAAAAGATGCACGCATGAAATGCGTTTTTAAATCAATTCTTAGAGTTTGGTATTTATAAAAATAATTGCTATGTAAACAAGATTTTATATATATCAATTATTGTATTGTTGGAAATGAATTTTCTGACCAAAATTTTTTTTGTGATAAGTATTATCTTTAACATTTAATAAAACCATCACAATTTTAATAAAAATATAGACGTAACAGCAGTGGAATGAATAAACGAATAATATTTAATATAAATATATTAATTTTTAACGTTACAGTGACTACACTTTAAATGTGTTAAGTTATTTAGAATTTATAAATATGTCATTAGGTATATAGTCACATCACTGATAGTCTCATAAGGATTGTCATATCACATTATAATTACATTAAAATGCAATTAATAAACGTTATTATGAAATCATAAGTCCACTGTGTTATTTATAACGAATGAAGCATCAAATTCAATATTTGAAAAGAAAGTATCTTCCGTTCCACTAAATTGCTCGTCAATCGAGCTTGAAGCGATATTCAATTTACTTACTGGATTCTCTGGTGTTAGTAAATAATAAGAGGTGAGGGCGCCGGCGCTTACTGCGCTCACGCCAGCCGCTAAGAGTCTTAGGGTGGCCATCGTTGTCGTCTTGTCGTTTTCGTATTATTCTGAAATCAGGTGAATTTATCGATCAAGTTTCTACCAAGCCAGTACTAAACTAAAGCGGCCTGATGGCACTACGAAGAGTAAACGTAATCCTCTCGCAGCATTGTTAAACAAAAAGAGGTCGAACGTTCGCGAGTGCTGCCAAGAGAGCTGATGTCAATAAATTATTTAACAGCGATTAGCTTCTTCAAGTTGTAAGAGTCAGTCGTACATTGTCGTACAATAGGTGCAACAGAGTGATCTTCTAAATTGGACTCAGGAAATTGTTCGGCGTCTGACACGGAAAGAATTTTCAATATCGAAATGTAATGGGTGCGTCAGTTATCCAGTTTGAATAATCCACTACGTGCAATTTTTCTTGAAATATGAAAACACTATAGTAACAGTGACGAGCCAACTCCACATAAATAGTCTATAATGCTAGAAAAAGTAAGTTAAGAATTGGAACTCGCGTCTGCGATGAAAGAAAGAAAGTGAGGGGGAGAGAGAGAGAGAGAGAGAGAGAGAGAGAGAGAGGTGAGTCATTGGGCGAAACACGTGCTCTTGGGCTTCGGTCGCTTAAGGTTGCTATAAATTAACAAGATGCACTGTACGAAAGAAAGTGCAGGAGAGAGCGCCTGCTGCAACTATACGTGCACGCAATCACAATGTCGTTTCCTTCCGACGAATGCTTTACAGATATGCGGTGAAAGAAACTCGAGCACACTACCTTACTTTTTTCTAAAATCTGTGAAACACGAGTTATCCGCGTGCATGTATCGAGTTTTATTTTGCAAGTTTTCTTTATTAAGGAGGTAAAGAGCATAACCATCGTAATGGTTAATGTACGCGAAAAAATATACGTAGCAGTTTACAACTAAGATTAACACAACAGCTGAAAAAGTCAACCTCAATCCTTATGTAAACTTGAGATAGTCACTAGACGAGATGCTAATATGAATGAAGAATTAGACTTTGACATCTTCGAAATGTTTGAGCGTTTGATTTATTTATCACGTGGCTACTTGTTTAACTTTTGATGTATATTACGATTGTCGTTCAATTTTAAAAACTCGGTATATTTGAATCATTAGTTTATTGCATCTGTAAGTCACGAGTGAGATGTGTAATCAGATAGTTCCGATTGTGAGAAACGTAAAGTAAGTGGCATAAATCACAGAGGACAAAAGAGACCGTAAGTTCTACAAATCAAACAGTTGTCAATTTCATGAAATAGAACTAAGATTTATTGCCTGCTAAAAATGCACAAATCTTATATTTGCCGAATTGAAACATCGTACATTACGAGATAAACGAACAGATGTGTAACTGTGAACTCAAAACAAAATTTTCTCACGTACGCTCTACGTATACGTTTTATCAAGGAGCACGCGGTAGGACTGATAACATAAAGTCACAACGCTCACGTGTGAATTTTTAAGCGTGGCGATAATCGTTATCAGGTACATTCGTGAATTTTTTTAATTAAATAGATCGAAAGGAAACGCTTGAGATGCCTGGGAGTCTGGAAAAAACCGGTTTTCAAATGAGATTCCACAAAATCTTTGATTTTCGTTGGCTTTTGTAAAACGAGAAAGCTCTCTACATCTGATCATTTTCCAACTGACTGGAAAATTCCGTTATCGTCAACCTTTGTTCAACTTTATCTGCATCGTACAAGTAGCGAATGCTTGCCTTGATTTTCGCGATAAAGTTCAATAGAATTGCTCGTTGTTCGGTTTCATAGTGGTTATAGTATTGCAATCCTATAGATAATAAAAACGAAAGTTACTAGTATGCAATGAACTTTTTAAATTTCTTTTATTGGATCGTAGCCAATATACTTATATATTTATTGAGATTCAAAGTACTTTCAACAGGTATATATTTTGATATATCAATACTGGTAATTATAATTCGTATACTATTTGCGAAGGTATTTCTACATTAATTTTGTAATTGTGAATAAAAAATAATCGATCATAAACTGAGGCCTTTATTTCAAATATTCGAATGGGAAAAACCAATTTGCTATACAATTTTTATTGAGACATAATTGTTTTATGTATACGAATTATATATTTCTTAAAAAAAAATCTGAACTCCATTAAATGAAAATAGTAGATCGTTGAGATTTTATGGTTCTGTAAATTTACTATAAACTTAAATATAAATATTTTGTTCACACATTTCACAGTTATACGAAAAAAATTATAATATATCACACGAGTCAAAATTAATTTATAATATCTAAGAGAGTTTTTATAAAATCACAAAAGAATGTACGATCCATTATCATTCCGTAATGTCAAAGAAAACTCGCCAATTGATATTATCGAATAGATTTGTAACCATGACCATGGGCAACAGTTTTTCGTAATTTTATTATTGTGCCAACGGGAAGAACGAAACTTGCAAAATTGAAATCCATGCATTGTCAAAAGAATAAAGCTTCAAAAATAATGCAATTGGAGGTAAAAGATTAGATTCAAAGACACATTGTTTGTTCGTGCGTGTAGTCAATTTGCCGCGTTTAAATTCGATTGGACCGTCTAAAACTCATCCTGCGATATGATAATCGCCAGCAATTTTGAAAATGTGGGAAGAACTAAAAAAACTACTGTTGTGAATCACGCAGAATTTTCAGACAGTGATCATGCGTGTGTCAGAAGATTGGTACGCAATCGTTGAATCATCGTCTTGTAGAAAGAGATATAAGCTCTCGTGTAGACGTTTTGATAAGTGGCATATATGACGTTTTTATCGTAGAGATTTGGTTAATTGTTTGAAGTTTACATGGTTAGATTCCTCATGGTTGATGAATGAATTGCGACGAGGAAAACATTTCTGTTGTCGTTGACCGTGAAAATGATGTAGATATTGTAAACAACGCGTTTTTTTTACATTGAAGTACTTATTTGTTCATGAAAGATACAGCTGATAAATATTAAGTGAAGACGACTTAATCTGCTGCAAATTGAAAATAAACTACAAACTATATAAAAATTATATGAAGGTAAAACGAAAGAATAAAATATTGTCTTGTGGAACAATGAGATATGTGTGCCAAAATCCGAATCCAAAATAGTTAGCCTGTATAATTTTCGTTAATTTAACGAATACAGTAGGCCGACTGGTAAAATAAACGAATTGGCTGTTAATGAAAAATATAATGGTTCAATATTTGAGTAATTTTAAGTATACTATTGTGGCAGGCGATTGAGTAAAACAATTCAGTTTGATAAACTTTGAAAATCGGAAGAAAATGGTGAGAAGGTACAACACTGCTTAGGATTCATGTCATTTTATCAAGTTTAATAAATTACTATTAACTTCTCTCGTCGCGTAACAATTAATTTTAGAATGATGATTAGAAGCGCAGAAAGAAATTATGGATTTTGATTTATTTATAAGTACTTATTAGAACTATACTTTTTGAATTGGTAATTTTAAGAAAAAATATATATTTATATCTTGTAATGTCAAAGCGCAAAGTTAACAACCTCAATAGACTGAGCTTTCAATCAAAATAAATGCCAGGAAATTATGGCAAACGAAAAAAAAACAGAACTGCCGGTAACTAAAATAGCACCGAGAGATTGTGCCAAAATCTAGCTCTTTCAAAATCTTTTGAGGTAGAAAAGAGAAGCATACTAGGCTATTGTAGGATAGAACGAAATTTATAAAACTTTTATTTCATGATTTCTCTATAATAAATAGTTCGTTTTAAACAAAAAATCAAGTTTGCAACTCATAGAGAATATATCCACGTTACGTAAAGTAAAAACAATAACAACCTCAAGGTTGGAATTAACTACGACAAAAATCTCACTGTTATCAGGTGTCAGAGCTGTTGCAAAAAAGTTGAATCAAAACACAACATTAATTTGTAACAACTGGCACGACGCCAAAATAAAAATTGTCAGAAGTATAATCACATGTCAACTTGGTATTATTGTACGCTTTTTCACTCATTTTCGACAGTTACGAAAAATAGTACATTACACATCTAGGGAGGTAAAACATTTGCCAAGATTCTAGTTCGTATTTTCCATCCGCGGGTGTCAATGTCCACGAGTTATGCAGTTGCCATTTTACTTTTCTAGATGTGTATACTATTTTTCGTGCCAGGCTGATTGGAAAGAGAAAACACCCGCCCGAGCCAGCAGGAACTTGCACTTTTCGCTCACCGGTACGAAAATCATAAAGACGCTTCACCGGCTCTGTAAATAAAGAAAAACAAAGAGAAACATAACGCACTGTGAACAGATTACGTGTATGTTAACGACTCGGCACGCGGACGATAAAGAAACGAACAATTGACGTGTAATAGTCGCGAACATTATGAGCGAGTGGGAGGGCGATTTTCGTTTTGTCGATAATCCAAGGTCGAACAATGGATATTTGCGTTTTTTGCAGGTCACGCGCTTGTATATACACCGGCATTATTATTCGTGAACGCGTAATGTCGTGACGTAGGCTCATTCATAGCTTCTCATTTTGATTTGAAACTATGCGATCGATGCACGAAAGTTCTGCTCGACTGTTATTTGTAAATATTTGCGAGATCGCGTACGTGTATAAACACGCACGCATGAACACTTTGTGCATGATTTGTCGAAGAGATAAGTATTTTCCGACTTCATTTTCATAGTACAAACTGTCGGTCAAAAATCCGCTTGAAGGTCATCAAGCTGCATTGTCTGTTCAGTAAATATGCCCGAGAAAAGATTGACAGATAAGGATTTTGAAGCACCGGAATTCTTACTCCTAACAAAAACGGTAATCAAAAAACACACACGTTCTAATCGCAATCCAAAAAATAAAACACTAGAAAAATTTTTCACTGTAAGTTTCAGCTCGACCCTTACAAGTTGTTACGCAAGACTGTATATTACATATGCTCTCTTTTAGATGGAGTTCGGAAAGCCCTGACCTTGTCTTATAGACACAAGTTACTCGCACGCCTAGCATATCGTCGTCGCGGTAACAATCTATGTACCACACGCTGCCGGCATCTTTTAATTTATTCTCGCAGCTTTTGCCGCCAAATTTTTTCACGCTGTTACATCGCTCGCTTAAGAGAGAAGTGCAACTCTATGTTACGCAACTATATATACGTTATTGTCAACTCTGTATATAGAGAGGAGGATGCAAAGTAACTGCTCTTTTCTTCTTACTACGAAAATTATTCATTGTAACGCAGCTTTTTCCAAGGAATTCACGTGACAATGTCATGTCATCAGTCGCAGGCACGTATCGCATTATTCTCTCTCTCTCTCTCTCTCTCTCTGGAAAGTAACACAAGTTCCACACACATAGAGTGCAAGCTCTACGGCAAAAAGTGTCATTGAAAGTTCAAGTTGCAGTGTCGCGTCACGCCGGGGCGTTGTACGTTTATACAAAGAAAATATCTTACTCATATGAACCCCATTATGAATAATACAAATAGAGGACGCTTGCTTTTTTATGTAGGGCCGTACGCGCGAAGGTACAATAAGGTTATGTAAAAAAAAGCTTCGAAGCTTTCACATTCACATACATACACACATACATACTCGATCGCAATACTCTTTCTTTTGAGAAGAAGGCGCACAAACAAATAAAACAAAAAGGGCCTCGTTCTGCTTTTGCTCTATTTATAACCATTGACACTTTGTGCGCGGGCTTGTAGGTCATCGCATAGCGTACGTCTTAAATGCATATATACACAATTACCACGAACACACACACACACACACACACATATATAGAGGGTAGAGGGTGTCAAGATTGCACGAGATGACGAAAAATCAGGGATCTTGGCAATCGTAACTTGTACTCACAATGTGCGCCCTCGATGAACATCGACCACCAGGACGCCTGATTCGTTAGGCACGCGATCGGGAAAGGAAAAAACGCGCGCGCACAACTCTTACTCGGACGACTACTGGTTCGCAACTGGCTCTAGTCTACTCGGTCGTCGTCTGCACAAGTCGCACCATTCCCCGTTCCCCTCCCTCCTACCCAACATCCCTGATCTCTCTCTTTTTCTCTCTCTCTCTCTCTCTCTCTCATGGATGGTAAGCAACTTCATACATACACATGTAACAATCGTGTGCCGCAACACTTGCAGGCTCTGGTTGCATTCTGTTTGAGCTGTTTTTGGCATTTATGTTGTTTCATGCACAGCTGCATCTAATAAAAATATATACAGATTATTTAAAAATCTTCAATAATTTGAAAGAAATTCAACTTACTTTTTTACGAAAACTTGTCGATTTGGTTAAACAGGTTTTCCTTCGAATGACTGATTATATAAAATGAAACGTGTAAAAATTTATTAGACAGCATAAAGATAAAAAATTCAAGTTAATAGGATTGATAAAGTCAAGAAAAGTGATTATCTAGTTAAAAACGATAAAAATTTTGTAAAATGCGAGTAAAAAAATTAACGAGAAGAAATATTACGAAACAGGTTTATTTTATAAGAATTCTTCGTGAATAGAAACCTATACGTTCTTAATATACAAAGACTTCATTTAAATGATAAATTATCTCCAAAAATCATGCATTAAAATTAACATTAAGCACCAATCTTCTCAATCTCATCAGCATCTTCAGCATCTAACAAGTGGATTTTTTTTTTGAAATGATGCTCGATGTCCTGACAAACTTTCATTGCATGAGGAGAGTCAACTAAATTTATCGCAATGCCAGATTTACCGAATCGTCCTGTCCTACCGATTCTGTGCAAATATGTTTCACAATCGGCTCTGCCTTGCTGGTCAATAGGAAGATCAAAGTTGACCACTAGTGTCACTTGTTCAACATCAATGCCTATCATGAAGTAATGAAAATGTTTGATGATAATGAATATTATGGACTAAGTATCATAATTTCATATAAAAAATTCCTACCTCTTGCGAGAACATTCGTTGTAATCAAAACTTTTTCCATCCCTTCCCGGAATCTATCAAGAACTTGAATTCTGTCAGCAACATTTAGGTCCCCGGATAAAATGGCTACAGCATGTCCATCTTTTGTCATTTTAGCTGCTAACCAACTTGCAGTTTTTCTTGTCTGAAAAATGTTGTTCAGAGAAATTAGTAATTGACTCACGGTTTACGCTAATCTTATATTATTATATTAGATTTACATGACAAAAAATGATAGCTTGTCCAATACTGATTACTCCATAAATATTTGTTATGGCTTGATACTTTTCATCCATATTGTTACACTTAACGTAATATTGTTTTATGTTATCTAAGCATTCTTCTTCTTTCAACAGTCTTATAATTATAGGATTACTAACAATGATTTCAGCAAATTCCATTACGTCTGGATCATATGTAGCTGAGAAGAACATCATCTGAGTTGTTGGAGATAACATTCTGAAAGTATAATATTAGTTAAGTTATCATACTATTGTACAAAGATTTTTTTATTAAAAAATATTTAATGAATTTTTTTTTATTTTTACTTGTGTATTCTGATACATTGATCTTGATGACCTTGCATAGCAATCATTACATCAGCTTCATCCAGGACAAGAACAGATATTTTTTTTAGGTCAAAAAATTTAAATTTAAGACTCCAGTCCAAAACTTTTCCAGGAGTTCCAATAATTATGTGCTCTTGTAGCCTGCTCCCTCTAGCTACTAAAAAAGTCCAAGTTCCCGATCATTAGATACAAATTTTTAATGACTAAAATAGCAAACTAACATAAAAGTTAAAACTACTTACAATCTTCTCCTCTAACTGCATATTTTAATTTTATCTCTGGACAAAACTTAGACATTCTTGCTGCTACTTCACCAGTTTGAATTGCCAGTTCATAAGTTGGTGATAAACAAAGAACCTGTGGATAATTTTTGGTAGGATCTACCCTACTAAGCATTGCAAGTACAAATGCAGCAGTTTTTCCAGTACCAGACTGTGACTGTGCAATCATATTCTGAGGCCTTTACAAGATAAAACAATTATTATACCATTATGTATCAAGAAGAATATTTTATAAAATTCAACTTACGGATCAGCTAGAAGTGTGGGTAAAGCAGTCTCTTGTATTTTAGATGGAGTATTAAACCCCATACTGTACACACCTTTTAACAACTCAGGTTTTCTAAAAACAAACATTAAACAAGTGTATGAAAAATTGTCATATGGTACAATATTGAGTAAAATAAACTATAATAATACTAACAGATGAAGAGCTTCAAAAGTTTTGATACTGTACAAGGGTGAGTTAGGATTCTTCCGTTGGATTTCTAATGGCTTAGTGGTTTCTACAAGTCCTCGTCTAATAATCTTCTGAAGCAGAGATTTTTCAGCCGGAGCTAGTGGCTGATCTTTATCATCTCCTTCGGAAGAACCATCACCAGGAACACTAGCTCCAGCAGAAGATTGAGATGTAGGTGCTGGGTTTTGCGATACATTGTTTATGCTTGTTGCATTTGAACTCAACTTCGAGCTGATATCTAAATTTGTCACCTAAAATTATGCAGTAAAAACAATGCTATAAGTATAATATTGAAAACGTGTAAAGTTTCAGTAACAATAAACGTAATAGATGTTATTTCGTGTTATATTTAAAAAAAACAATTTAGAAATGGTGAATACTATGTTACACACGGATAAAGTTTATTTTCCAAGTAATCTGATGCAAAAATGGATGACTGTTAGGAAACGAGGTTAGGCTATTTGAATATTTTTTGCGCGAAAAAGGGATGTAATTATTTACTTGTGAAGTGAGTTTTTCTTGTTCCTCCACATATTTTCCCCAATCGACTTTTTCAGACGACATTCTCGCATGTAGGATTAAAATTAAGGACCTTTTTAAAAATAACAGTGTTATTTTTCTGCACAACGACAAAGTGCGAGCGAATCGCCTATTCGAAAGGATGTGAGAACACTGCCTGATCCCAAGTGCCGGTACTTTATCATGCGACGTTATGCTCCCCACTTCTTCATATATAAACACATACACACGCATTTCCAAATCAGAACGTTTGTTATATAGTAACGCTTTTTTAAAAAAACCCTTTGCACATTCTAATTACACTGCTAAAAATAATCGAATATTGAAATATTAAAAAAAATTATTAATTTACTGTTAAAACGTAAACGTATAAAGTATAACCAATCAAATAACATTATAAAAATTTAATTTTATCTCAGGTTGTGAAAATTGATAAATATATATAGGATGCAAATTTAATAAAGCGGAATAAGAAAATTTGAACAATTTACGATTGTTTATTTTAATAATACATGGAAACTTTTTGATTACACTAAAATTTATAAGTAAAATCAATTAATGAACATTAGTCACCAGAAGTATTAATATACGACGATAACTTAATGAAATTCCTTCATATTTTTTACTTATTAAAAAAGGAAGTACTTCCTTTACTTTTATACAAAAATTTTACATAATACATATACAATTTTTTTATTAAAATAGTTATACTGTTTTGGCGCAGTCTAATAGTAAATATGAATTTCCAAAGTTTGAACTAAAATTTTAATTTAAAAAATAAATAGCCATAATGACATAAGTACAAAATTCATACAATATTTACACATCCAGATAAAAACATTTTCTTTCTACATATTAGCACTTTTTTTGTATATTCATTACATTGCCTTTCAACTGGAACGTATTATAAGTTTTATGTTACAATAATAAAACATTTGATTTGTCCAAATACACAATTAAGTTAGGCTAATTTTTTGTACAAATGTTGCACATATATGATCTTAAATTTATCCTATAATTACATTTAATTATAAGTATTTACATTTATATGAAAAATAACTAAATTTCAAGTTGCATAAGTTTACGATGGATGGAAAGAGAATCAGTAATGCCACATTTTATGCAAGTGGTTCATTTAAATTAAAATAGATTTTAACCTAAAGAAATGAATAATCATTTGCATTACACCTCATCAACGCAATTCACTGGAGAAAGAAATACTAGTTATTGGTCCCCAGCAGTAGCTGCAGCCAAAGTAGCCGCATCTCCTGTGCTACTCTCAACTATGAGCATCACTGTCTCAGTAGCATCTCGGACGCATTCTACTTGGTGTACATTCCAGTCCTTTCGTTGGCAAAATGTCGAGCAGTAGGGTGTCCGTCGACATAGTGAGCACTCGGCATAGGCGTCTCTGTTGCAGTTGGCACACTATGAGATAATTGATTTTATTAAAAATACCTAAGTTTTACTAATTAACTAATTACTAGACATGTTAATACCTTTTTACTGTGAGTATCTGAAGCAGGTTGTAATCCCACAGTGTCTATCACGTCAGTGCGATTGACATTATTCAATAAATCCCTTTTTTGTTGTCTGCTCTCTTCTGCTTTCAATTCCTCTATGACTTTCTTAAAATCTTGAGCAATTTTCAAGAGTTTATTTGACAGCTCATCAAGCTTAGTGAATTTGCTCTCAATGTGTCCATTTTCTGCTTGCACATTTGTCATTAAATGATCAGTCTCTTGCTGTTGAGCCACAATATTATCTGCAGGGACAAATGCTGGCCAACAGTTTTTGTCTTGCAATTCTGCTTCACTATCATCATTGTGGCTATCCCTAGATGATTCAGTTTTATGTTTCCTTAGTGGTGGTCCATCACCATCCATTGGATCTCTTGCCCTTCTTCGTCTTTTATATGGTGTGAATAATCTGATTGGACCAGCCTAGGAAAAATAAAAATTCTTTAGTACATATATGAACTTTATAAAACATAATAAATTCAATTCTCACAGCAGTATCATCATCACAGCAAGCAGAACAAGTACAAGAAGTGGCATGTGGACTGAGTATTTGTTCATCGATAAGCGTTTGTAAACTTCTACCACCAAAACGAATACTTCGTTTCCAGTCTTTGCTTGATGCTCTACCACATAATGCCTCAAATTCACTAGGCGTATACCATATATCATTGTACTTAATACATCTTCCCCGTCCACCCGACCCAAATTTACATTTGTGTAGTTCAGCATTTGTACTCTTACATCTAATTGGTAAAACTGCCATATTTGCACACTCTGTCCAACTACACAATGAACTTGATGCTCCTGACGTGACATGAATAGGTTCACTTTCACTCTCCTCGCCACTATTTTGTATCACAATGTGAGTTGCTTTCAATTCTCCATTCCATCTCAAAGGATCAGACTTATCATCTCTTGCTTCACAGATAAAACCATTGTCCACACAGAGCATTTGTTTGAATTGTCCAGATTGTAGCTAAAAAGATATTCAATATCAGTTTTTATCAACATGAAAAAGCAAGTAAATAAATAGTATCCAGTTTTATTGATTTGAATTTGATTCCATATGAATGTTATTTTGGTTATTTAATTTTTTCTAAGTCATTAATTAATTTTATAACTTAATTTATTATTTCGGTCTTTTTGTAGAGAAAAATAGAGCGTTGATTTTTGAAAAATAATAAAACGCGGCTTGACTTTAGTAAATAACATTTTACTATTTCGAGAAACGTGACTTAATGCATTTGAAGAAAGTAAAAAAACTGAGTCATTTGAAAAAATAAGTCTAGAGAAAGTTAGCAGACTGTATTAAAAAATCTACAGATAAAAGCATAAAAATTAACAATTATAATTCGGCGAGAAAGGTAATCAAAAATTGAATATCCAGGACAATCAATAGCCTTAAAAAATATCGAAATAAGAAAATAAAGAAAAGAGAAAAAAGAGATAGCGGATAATTGTTCGAAAAATAAGAAAAAAGTGGTAGGACTATGTGTACCTGTAGTTGATCGGAGGTGATGACATTGAAGGTGGTGCCACTGGTGGCATTAGCAACGCCGATGATGGAGCCAAGGGGTAAGGAGACGGGCACCCCGGTGGCCGTGGCAACATTTGCTGCGACGGCCACCGGGTGTGCTGTCGTTGTTGGCTGGGTCGTCACAACGGCGACGGTGTTGTCGTTGGGGGTAGCCGGCGTTGAACTCGCGCGCTGCACTACCGTCGCGACTTGCCGCTCGCCGTCGGCTTTGATCGCCAGCGATTCGGACATGTTCGCCAGCACGGCGACCGTCTCCGAGCGCTGGCTCTTATCCATTCGAACCCGATGATGCCCGAAGCCTCCTCTCTCTCTCACTCCAAGATGTCTGTCTACACGCGAACACTATTATAAAAACTGACGCGCCGCTTGCGCTGCGCGCCTGCTTCAGCCGCCCTCTGCCCTGCTCTTTTCTCTTGATCATCTCCCGCCAGGTGGGTTTCTATATTGTGAACACCTGGCGGCCGCCCCGCGCCTTGCCGCCTTCATCAGGTTTATGCAGCTGTTGAGTTAATATAGAAATCTATCTTGTCAGAGTCGATCGGTGGATCCTCACTCGTCAATTGTCTATGGCGATAGATGGCACTAGTATGCATTTATTGACGCGAAAAACGTATTTATAGCATTTGAACTTTTGAGTCAACCTTCAGCTTTCACTGTGACAATCTTCTAGAAAAGTTATTTTTTCAATGGTTTTTAACTTTTATTTATTTCTCAAAGTCAGTTATTATTCATGTATTACTATTATTTGCTGTAGAAAATATTATAATTAAGAATTGAACAAAATATCGGTCAAACGGAGTAACGTAAAATTTAATAAAACTACAACACATTATATTTTATTAACAAACATACGTTGAATTGTAATTTGAGTAATTGTACTTTACTACCACATCTTGTACTTGTTCTGCTTGTTGTGATGACAATACTGCTGTTAGAACTAAATTTATTATGTTTTAAAGTTAATATATGTACTAAAGAATTTTTATTTTTCCTAGGTTGGTCCAATCAGATTATTCACAATATATAAAAGTGTTTAATATTAAAAAATCCGTTCAAATGTCGCAGAATACATTCTTAGATTACTTCAACGTTTGTTTTGTTCTATCAGCTCGGTACGCCATTTTTTTCATAAGAAATTATTCAAATGCTCGTGCAAACTGAAATTAATTTGAGATAACTAAATGGTTTTGTTTGTCGATTGATTGAACAAGTTTGAAAATATTTGCATCTGTAACTGAAAACTAAACTAACTGAATATCATTCTAAATAATGCTCTATCTAAATATCTCAACGTTATCACAAAGTAAATTATTTATTTACTTATAGGTCATGCTATTCAGCAGAGTCCAGGATGCCACCTAGAGAAGCAGAAGAACTGTCTGATGATAATATCCGTGAGCGCGGCATGGCTTGTCAATGAATAAAGCTGACGCTAAGACCGCATGCAGCGACGCTGACGTCGCTTTCGGCATTATTGGACAGCAACGACGACAAGGCGCGGCGATGGCATTGTTATGTCTTGCGGTGTATGTCGAGGCCATACTATTTACTGGTAAATTAGATTATGACACTATTGATAGAGAATATATAGGTTCGATTCCAGCGAACGTCGTAGGCGACAGAAAAAGACGTATCTTCCTCAGGCGTGGTTGACCGAATCGAAGTGTTTTTGGCAACAATATCTGCCGATAGTGTCCACTGACATTTAGATTTTACTTTCGAGCAAAATAATAATTAAATACGGCGTACAAGTTATTGGCAGCGAGTAATCGCAGCGCAAAAAATTTCTTAAATGTAAAGCATTTCTCTCGATGTCAGAAAAGAAACAATTTTAACTCGCGTAATCTTAGAAAAAATATGCCTTATTTCGAAAAAAGTTTTCTTGACTCGGGAGACCTTTCCTCGAGGAGTGCGCGCAACAGCGCTCAAGCGAAATAAGCGATGTTCTGTTTTTTAGCGCTGCCATTAAAAAAGAAAACGCAATGAAGTTCGTATCGTTTCTGGAATAATGTCTCTGGTCGCGCAAAACTAAAGCGACGTATTATGATCACAGAGCGCTCCGAGGAAACGGAAATTCCCAGCGAAGCGAATAAGAGCCGATGGATATTTCAGCTCGCGTGGACGTATCACGATTACGGAATAGACTTTCAGTTGGTCGAACGTATAACCGCATCATGCGGATGCCCTCTGTTGTATCGACGAGGCAAAGTCCTGATCTCGCTTCTGCGATATTTGATGTTAGACTGCACACACAGGAGTTTGCTGCGATAGAGGCCCTCTATAGCATATAGATCAACTGCACGCACGCTTCGCGTTCGCTCTTTTACGTACACGCCTTTCATCGTTCATCCGCTAATCTTGTATGATAGTGTTCTATAAGATTTGGTCGATTGATATTCGTAGCAAAATTTAGACGAGATTTTCATGTCTAGTATTAGAACATTTATGACACGTTTTCATTCTTTAATTTTTCCCATCACAAAGTACCATCATATACTATTCGAAAGCTCGTAGCTTAACGTTTTTTGCTTATCTAACGACTTGGACAAATACAAAGTTTACTAGCTAGGAGCGTGGATAATTTATTTAGTCTAATAATAATTGAAATCGCAGTTTCTTATATTCATGAACATAAGCGAAAATATTTACGTAATTTATTTATTTAGCTGGAAAATAGTACCGACAACATAACTTGAAACTTGAAAATACATTCAATATAGACGTCAAAGTTGCTAAAGACGGAACTTGACAAGGTGAAACTTAAAGTTTCGCGAACGGACAATTCCAAAGTACTAACAAAGACAGATTGTAATTTTGAAGCTTCCAACTTATTGCATAATTTTGTTGTATTTCATTGATCATTTTTTAAAATCCAAGCATTGGGCATATACTGATTGGGTAAAAATGATTATTTTTCCAGTTTCAAAAAGTCGAAAAATTGTTATTTGAATCAAATTCTCCCTCAGCGTTGGTCTAGTCCTGAATAATTGAAATAAAGTTATTGGCACCACCAAAGGAACTTGCCCAAAAAATTTAATTATATTCAAAAATTTTCCCTGCAAATTTATTTCGACGAATCATTTGCATGACTAAAGAGTAAAGTTTGAGTAAATTATGAGCAGTTCATTATGTAATACTATGAATAATACTGTTTATTAGATTTGCACTACCATAAAAATTTGGTACCGTAAGTTTTGGATGATCTACAGTCTAGGGGTTTGTAGTAGATTTGACGAAAGGCTTATACAGAGCTCGGGTTAATTGATACTTTATTCTGAACAAACAAGTATGGAGTGCTGACTACAACTCACTGTAGTGAATTGAACTGTATAACGATCAACCGGAAGATGCGAAGAAACAAGAGTCCCTGTACGATAACAGTCGCGAATACCGCGCAAACATGTTGATCTTGCATCTTTATTCATTAATGTTATCAAAATTTCGGAAATTTTTTTATATTATTAAAAGAATTATTTCTGAAAATTAGTAGTGACTATTATTTTCTTAAGAATAATATTTCATAATTACATTTTATTTTATGTTTGGTTTTTATTTTATGTTCGGTGTTTATTTTATGAAAATTCAAACAATATTTTTCTTATATCAAAAAACAATTTCACTTAAATAAGAAAATATATTTCTTATTTTGAGACTTATCGTTTTCATACGTTACGTTGCATCCCACTTTAAGACAATTTTTTCTCATGTGAATAGTTTTTTTTTTGCGCGTACAAAGCTAAATTGGTAATTACGAATATCCGTTGGAAACGAAAGTTGTACAGAACATTCTAGTTATAATTGAAAAGGCGATCCGATCAACGTAATTAATAATATTGCTCGAGAAAGCGGAAACATGATTTAGGAGTACACAGATAATCCGCATACATCATTTTCGTGCTCAGAAAAAAAAACTGCTCGTGCGATTCAGTAATAAATGAAAAAGTAAAGTAAATTGGTTTTTAAATTGATTCCCTTGTATTCAAGAAAAATATTTTACAATAAATTATTTAGATATCAAAGTCGACGAGTACGTAGAACCGTCAGTGAGGTTTACTTCAGTTTCATCTACATTATTTCATCTTTCTCTTTGCAACAAATGCTTAAAGCTTAAACATTTAAAGTACGATCAGCGCACCTGATATATGTAATTTAATGCGTTTGATTACAATGTTATTCGCAACAACTGCTTTGATTATATAATAGAAAGTGGTTATATCGGTCATATCATTACCGTTGAAACATAGTTGACGTTTGATATTAAATATTTTCGTCGGGCGATATTCGATCGAATGATCTCTTTGAGCGACTGTTGAGCTGAACAATATTTAGCTGAGAGTGACTTGTAATTTTATGTTCGAAAGTTTAGCTGGCGACAATCTTGCTGAGCGACGGATGGCCGTCATTACTCGGCTACTTAGTATAATAACCGCAAGTAATTAAGTTACCAATTCTCTTGTGTTTCGTTATGTGAATACCATTCGCAGAGTAATCAAGTTGGAATTCGAATGACTCGGCGTTTAGAAAAATCAATTACCCTGACAATTATTGATTAATGCTTTTCTGCGCGATGAACGCAAGATAACAAAATACTGCGTCGAATTTTACACTTGTACAGACAATTGCACGTGCTCATTGTGAACTTTGTCGAGAATTGGAAAACTTGTGCCTTTACAGATACGATACCTGTTGTACAGGATGACATGATATATTGATCGAATAATGTACTACGCGAACTACGCGATTCCTCTTGCTCCAAGAAACTTCCCAGCTGAAACTGTCCCTAATGGAATGTCTCTTGTATCAATAGGATAATGGGATTTGTTTCAAATTGGTATTCTCTCGCTATACAATTTTTTTGCAGTTAACTAATTCGGCGGTCATAACTACAACGTCGCAGCGTATTTCCGTAAGCCATAGTCTAAGCCGTTTTCCGTCGCATGTGCCCAGTTTCATATGTATTGCTATGTATACGTACACGTATACGACAATACGCACAGCATCTGGCAGCAGTCTATGAAACGCAGCGGCAGCCGCTGCAGTTGAGCGTTACGAGCTTCGCTCCCTCACCGACGCGAGTAATGGCCTCCACTCAATCTCCCTCACTCCCAAACTCTTCTCTCTCTTTTTTTTTCGTGCAAGCGAACAATCCAGTAATTACGATACACGCACAAGTCGGCCAAACACCTTGCGCGCATGATTTAACTCCCGCGGGCTGACTGGCGCGCGATGCGGCGCAGCATGTGGCTTTCACGTTGACTGTCGCGCGCGTGATGGAACGCGACAATGAGTTTGGCAGGGGATCGAAATCGAGCCGCGAATTGTGGAATATCCGAAAGATACCTTTCTTTTCTCTCTCTCTCTCTCTCATTGGCGAGCGCGACGCGACG